CACGAGGAGATTGGAGTTTTCTGGAATGGATGGAAAGCCTCTCTAAGAAATGGAGGGGACTGGGGCCAGCACTGGGACATAGTGCTTCATGTCTCAGAGGTTTCATTTCCCATCCAGCTCTGTGATAGTGGCCTGGGAAAAGCAACACAGCATGGTCCAGGTACCTGGGCTCCTGTATCCATGTGGGAGAACCATGTGAGAGACCCAGATGGAGCTCCTGGCTTCAGTCTGGTCCACCGCTGGTCATTGTAGCTGTCTCAGGAGTGAACCAGTAAGTGAAGGATCTCTCGCTCTGTTTCTCCTCTCTGTCTACAACTTTTTTATAGTGAATAAACCATAACTCTTAAAAAAGAAAGAAAATGGAAGGGTGCATCTACTTTGGAGAGGGCTGATCAACAGAGTGAGTAAAAGTGGGGACTTGGGGTTCAAGCCCTCCTCTGTCTTCAATGTTAAGAAATCTGTTTATCTGGACCCAGCACGATAGCATAGTGGATAAGGTCCTCGCTTTGAAAGCGCTGGGATCCCATATAGTTGCCGGTTCTAATGCTGGCACCTCCACTTCCCATCCAGCTCCCTGCTTGTGGCTTGGGAAAGCAAAGCAGTCGAGGACGGCCCAAAGCCTGACTCGGCTTCGGATTGGCTCAGCTCCAGCGGTTGCACTCACTTGGGGAATGAATCATCAGATGGAAGATCTTCCTCTCTGTCTCTCCTCCTGTCTGTAAATCTGCCTTTCCAATAAAAATAAATAAGATCTTTAAAAAAATAAATTTGTTTTTCTTTTATTTCAAAATGGAGGTGAGAGAGAGAGAAAGGATTTCTATCCTCTGGTTCATTTCCCAAATGCCTGCAACAGCTGGGGCTGGACCAAGCAGAAGCCAGGAGCTAGGAACTACATCCTGGTCTTTCATGTGAGTGGCAGGAATCCAATTACTAAAGCCATCCTTTGATACTGAGCAGGGTGCATGTTAGCAGGAAACTGCCCCAGAAGACGATGATGGGGTCTTGAGCCAGATGTTCCAAATGGGATGGAGGATGTCCCAAGATATTTCAAATGGGGCCCATTCCTAGCTTCTACACCACAGCCAGTTCCTACTACTGGTTTGAAATATAAACAGGCATGTTGCTAAACCTCCTGTGTCACAGGGCTTTCTGATTTGTTTTGTTATTGTGTTAAATCTCTAAAGGGAGGTTGTGAATCCTGCTTGATAGGGTCACTGTGAGAATTAAATGAGATAATACCTGCTACATAGTACAGTCGACCTTCCATATTGTAGGAGATAGGTTAGAGACTCCCGTGGATGCTGCAATCCCACATATAAAACAGCATAATGTTTGCATACTTTTTAAAAAAAGATTTATTTTATTATTTTTTATTGGAAAGGCGGATATACAGAGAGGAGAGACAGAGAGGAAGATCTTCCGTCCGATGATTCACTCCCCAAGTGAGCGCAATGGCTGATGCTATGCTGATCCGAAGCCAGGAGCCAGGAACTTCTTCTGGGTCTCCCACACGGGTGCAGGGTCCCAAAGCTTTGGGCTGTCCTCGACTGCCTTCCCAGGCCACAGGCAGGGAGCTGGAAGGGAAGCGGGGCTGCCGGGATAGAACCGGCGCCCATGTGGGATCCCGGGCGTGCAAGGCGAGGACCTTAACCACTTGCGCCACTGCGCTGGGCCTGCTGGGCCCTACTTTTTAAAAAGATTTATTCGTTCTAATTAGAAGACAGATTTTAGAGAGAAGGAGAGACAAAGAGGGATCCCTTTTTTTTTTTCTCAAAGATTTATTTATTGGGCCCTGGTGCGATGGTGCAGTGGTTAAGGTCCTCGCCTTGCACGTGCCAGTATCCCATATGGGTGCCGGTTCTAATCCCGGCAGCCCTGCTTCCCTTCCAGCTCCCTGCTTGTGGCCCGGGAAAGCAGCCGAGGACGGCCCAAAGCTTTGGGACCCTGTACCCGTGTGGGAGACCCGGAAGAGGCTCCTGGCTTGGCATAGCATCGGCCATTGCGCTCACTTGGGGAGTGAATCATCGGACGGAAGATCTTCCTCTCTGTCTCTCCTCTCTGTATATCCGCCTTTCCAATAAAAATAAAATAAAAATATTTTTAAAAAAGATTTATTTATTTTTATTGGAAAGTGAGATATACAGAGAACAGGAAAGACAGAGAGGAAGATATTCCATCTGCTGATTCACTCCCCAAGTGGCCACATTGACTGGAGCTGATCCAATCTGAAGCCAGGAACCTGGAGCCTCTTTCAGGTTTTCCCACGCAGGTTCAGGGGTCCCAAGGCTTTGGACCATCCTTGACTGTTTTCCCAGGCCACAAACAGGAAGCTGGATGGGAAGTGGGGCTGCTGGGACACAAACTGGCACTTTAAGTTATTTGAAAGGCAGAGTTACAAAGAAAGTAACATAGAAAGAGAGAGATGTTTCATCGACTGGTTTGCTCCTCAAACGGCTGCAATGAGCTGGGCCCTGGCTGGGCCACAATCAGAAGTCTGGGACAGGGAGCGGGATCAGAAGTGAAGCAGCCAGGACTTGACTTGGTGCTCATATGGGATGCCTACATCGTACGTGTCTGAACATACCTACGCATCACAACATTGGCCCCAGATGCAACTCTTTAAAAGTACTTTTCTGGGCCTGGCGCAGTGGCCTGTCGGCTAAAGTCCTTGTCTTGCATGGGCCGGGAACCTATTTGGGTGCCAGTTCTAATCCTGCCACCCTGCTTCTCATTCAGTTCCTTGCTTATGGCCTGGAAGGGCAGTTAGGACAGTCCAAAGCCTTGGGCCTCCTCTCTGTATATCTGACTTTCCAATTAAAAAATAAACAAAAGTTTTAAAAAAGAAAAAGGGGCCCCAGCGCAGTGGCCTAGCAGCTAAAGTCCTCACCTTTAATGTGCCAGGATTCCATATGGGTGCCGGTTCTAATCCCGGCAGCTCCACTTCCCATCCAGCTCCCTGCTTGTGGCCTGGGAAAGCTGTAGAGGACGGCCCAAAGCTTTGGGACCCTGCACCCATGTGGGAGACCTGGAGGAAGTTCCTGGTTCCTGGCTTCAGATTGGTGCAGCACCAGATGTTGTGGTCACTTGGGGAGTGAATAATCGGATGGAAGATCTTCCTCTCTGTCTCTCCTCCTCTCTGTATATCTGAGTTTGCAATAATAAATAAATAAATCTTAAAAAAAAAGAAAGAAAGAAAAAGAGAGTATTTTTCTGAACTGGGTTTCATTATACTGAGTGGGACCTATGTGCTGACTGGAGGGTTTGGGGTCGCACTGGCTCTGGCTTCTGACTTTTGCTTCCTGCTCATGCAGACCCTGGAGTCCCTCCTCTCCTCGATAGCTCAAGTAGTCAGAGTTGGGGGGTCTCCAGTTGGGAGATTTGGATGGAGTTCTAGGCTCCCAGCTTCAGCTCCTTCCCCAACCCCATCATCATGGACATTGTTTTTGTAACTTTTTGCCTCACAAGCAAACAAAAAATACTTCACACATTTACATGGAGAGAGAAAGAACTTTTGATTCTTGGCTGAATCCATGGATGCAAAATCTTTCAGTAGAAAGAGCTCAGCGCTGGTGCCATGGCTCAACAGGCTAATCTTCCACCTACAAGTGCTAGCATCCCATATGGGCACCAGTTCATGTTCTGGCTGCTCCATTTCCCATCCTGCTTTATGATCTGGGTGACCCAAGTCCTTGGGACGCATGTGGGAGACCTCGAAGATGCTTCTGGCTGCGGATCAGCTCAGCTCTAGCTATTGCCATTTGGAGAGGAGAGACAGAGAGGAAGATCTTCCGTCCGATGATTCACTCCCCAAGTGAGCGCAACGGCCGATACTATGCCGATCCGAAGCCAGGAGCCTCCGGGTCTCCCACGCGGGTGCAGGGTCCCAAAGCTTTGGGCCATCCTCGACTGCTTTCCCAGGCCACAGGCAGGGAGCTGGATGGGAAGAGGGGCCGCCGGGATTAGAACCGGCGCCCATATGGGATACTGGCACGTGCAAGGCGAGGACCTTAACCACTGCGCCACTGCGCCACCGCGCCGGGCCCGGTAAATTTGCCTTTCAAATCTTTAAAAGGGGGCTTATAGCCGCTGCTGGGTCAATACCGGGTGCTGGGGAGAAGTACAGCAGTGGGGAGGCTCCGTCTGTAAAATGAGAAGGTTGGGGATGAGGGCTTGCGGTGACTTGGGTCATCAAGAGGTGGATAAGGCCGAATTCACACCCGCCTAAGCCTCCCAAGCGACAGGGTGGGGCCCGGCCGCGTCCCGGAGGGGCGGGCAGCCATCAGCCTTGCTGGCTGCCAGGGCTGGGGTGGTAGTGGGGAAGACTGACTGAAGCCGGGAGCTGCTGCAGCCGGGAGCAGCCTGGGCGGCGGCGGTGGCAACAATGCCAGCAGCACCGACAGCTTCAGCCGCCGCCCCTCCCATCCGTCTCTGCTGTGTCACAGGTGGGAACTTCAAGCTCTGGTCACGTGTCTTGGCTGGCTAACCTACTTACCCCTTGAAGACACTCAGTCAGCAGCTGGCGGGGCCCGAGAGCGACCAAGAAAGCGACGGGGTGGGACGGGGAGGTGGTGGAGCCCCTGGCTTGCTGGAGACCGAGGGGGAGGCTCCTGTGCCAGTCCTGGACGCAGGTGCTAGATCGAAGGCCTGTAGCAGGAATTCCTGCAGTGGGAGCAGGCAGAACCCTGGGTACCACTTTAACCTTGGAGCTGCTGGCCTGCTCAAAGCGCTTCTCTGTATCCCTTCCTAGCCACCACCCTTCGAGCTGGAACCTGCAAGACTCGGGGACCTCCCGCAGTCCCAAGACTCCTGGTGTGTCGAAAGCTTTTGTATTGGTTTGGGGAGTGGTAAGGGAGGCCTGAGCTCAAGGATTATCCCTGAGGGAAACAGGTTCACAGTGCCTGGAGGGTGATGCTATCAGCACCCCAACACCTTCCTCCAAGCTACCTTCCCGGGAACCTGACCCCAGCGCGCGGCTGCAGCCCACCTTTTCGTCACTGTCCCTAGGTAGGCTTGCCGCCAGCCCCTAGTCCTGAATTCACAAACGCGCTCTTCTTCGGGCCCCAACGCCCCCGGGCGTCGCGGCGCTCGCTTTCGCCATCCTCGTCCCCCCGCGGGCTGCGGTGCGGCGCGGGCCCTTTAAGAGCAGCGCGGACCGGCGAGCAGTGCCTTGGAGGAGAGCGCAGTCGCCCGGCGGGCTCGGGAGGACGGAGCGCCGGGGACCCAGCTTGGGGAACCGGCTGCGCGCAGCCAAGTGAAGTCGGGGCGGGACCCCCGCCGCCCCGCCGCAACCTGGTCGTCTCCTCGGACCGCAGCCCCGGCCTCCCTGCCGTCCACCCCGCCCCGGCCCCGCCCCGGCCCGGGTGGCCCGGACCCGGAGCCGGGACGCGGGTGCCGCAGCCCGAGGCAGGTAAGCAAGCGGAGCCCGTGGTCTGCATCTCTAGCCTGCAGCGGCGCCCCGCGTCGCGGCCCGCACCGCCCGGGGGCGAGTCAAGGTGACTAAAGCACCGGGCGGCGGAGGATGAGCCCTCTGTGGGTGGGGCGCTGCGTCGGCCTCGGGAGCTCCGAGTCCGGGGTGGGGGGCGCGCCGGCGCGGGGCGCCCGCTGGAAGGGCCGGCCTGGGCATCCAGCTCGGGGATGGGGAGGAGATGCAATGGGAGGCCCGGAGCTTCCCCTTCTCCGCCTCCCCCCGGTGGGCCAACGCTGTCCCCCCTCATCCAACGGGGCTCTCCGGACCTCCTGGTGGGCAGGCCCGGCCTGCGGCCTCCCTCCCCCATCCGTCCGGTCCCCGGGGGCTGCTGGCCTGCCGGGTAAGGAGATTAGAGCGGCCGCCGAGAGGACGGAGCGGATGAAGGCTTCCAGGGGCCGGGCTAGGGCGGGGGCTGCCCTGGACTGTAGAGGGGTCGTTTCGAAAGCCGCACAGCGTGGAGAGTGGGGGGCCAAAGGAGAACCGGGGATGGAGGTTCCGCCCAACAGTTGGGAAGGTACCCAGAGGAGGAGGGAGGTGACGGCAGGCTTTGGCCGGCAGGGAGCTTTAGGAGGCGGCTGGGGATCTGCTCCGACTGAACAGGCCCTCTCTCACAGGCCAGCGCGCGGTGTGATGGCGGAGAAGGCGCTGGAGGCTGTGGGCTGTGGTCTAGGGCCGGGGGCCATGGCCATGGCCGTGGCACTGGAGGATGGGGCGGAGCCGCCGGTGCTGACCACTCACCTGAAGAAGGTGGAGAACCACATCACAGAAGCCCAGCGCTTCTCCCACCTGCCCAAGCGCTCGGCCGTGGACATCGAGTTCGTGGAGCTGTCCTATTCCGTGCGGGAGGGGCCCTGCTGGCGCAAACGGGGTAGGGAGCCGGACTGGGACCCATGGGGTGGTGTCTGCTGGAGGCTGAGACTGGAGCGTTTGCTGCTGTGTGCCTCCTGCACCGTGGGGCCCTGGGGGTACCCTACCCACCTGGGGTTCACCCGGTCACTCACCACACACAGCTGGAGTGGGAGTGATTATGGGCAGGGTCTGTGAGCACCTGTGAGTTCTGGGATATGGTGGGGTGCTGTGCATTGTACCCCGTGGTCCTTGGCCGGTCCTTGATGAGGAGTCCTGGGGACAGCACCTGCTTAGCATGCCTGAATCCATGCTTAGCACACTCTCTGGGGCCCCTTCCTATAGTTGTCCTCGCCCTCCAGGACTGCCAGGGACCTGTGAGATGGAAAAGGTGGAGGTCTGGAAGGGTGGATGTTGTGCTCTGTGACTAACTGCAGCTCAGGGGAGTTGGGTAGCTTAACCAATGTCCCAAGTCCCACGGCTGAGAAGTGCAGAGCCAGAGCCTGAAGCCTGAAGCCTGAAGCCAGTGGTAGGCAGAGCGGGCCCCATCTGCCTGCCTCCCTGCCAGGCGGATAGGCCACTCCCCGGAGCAGCTCCAGCTAGGAGTAGAGACACGGGGTTTGTTTCCCAGAGGCTGGGTGTAGGCCAGGGGTGGGGCAGCTGGGCCATTGTTCTCTGAGGTTTGGGGTGCCTCAGAGCAGGGCTCAACAGTAGCTGGTGGTATGAATTGTCCCCGGGAGGGACTGCAAGGTTGCAGGGCTGAGCTGGTGCAAGCTGAGGCTCCTGGGCTCTCTGCCCAGTGCCACACACCTAAGCAGGTGTCCTGAGCACAGCTCTAGGTGAAACCATGGGATCTGCACACCTTCACATTCTTCTTCCTCATTGCAAAGAACAGCGAAGATCAAAGAGTGGCGTGGCTGGGTGGGCGGTTCTGTGATGCTTCAGCTTGCCCAGCACACACTGGCACCCCCTCCCCTCCTCACCCTGCACACCTCCTCCCATTCCCCCACCGGCCTGGGATTTGCCCCTCCCCCTACAACCCGATTTTATTGTCCACAATGTCCTCCTGGCCGACGCTTCCATCCCAGCCCCTTGCTACCCTTTGCGGTCCCTCTTTGTGCTTCTCCGTGTCCTGGAATCCCTCTCAGAAAGCATCTCAAGGTGGGCACCAAAAGAGAGAGAGGTTTCTGCCTGTCTCGGATTTGTCATCGCTCTGCCTCAGCCACATGTGGCATTTCTCTTGTTTTTCAGAACACTTTCCTGTTAATAATATTTAATGATCTCACTTGGTGTTGATAACAGCCCGATGAAGGCCTCGGGAGGGGACGTGTCCATCTTTGAGAGATGAAGTGATTTGACAAAACTTTCATAAGATTCATTGACCCAGTCAGGGCTAGAACACAGGTGTCTCTCCAGCCCCAGGGGGCGGCAGGAGAGCAGGTGTCCAGCGATGTACGGTCACGGCCACCTGGCACCTATGTGAGCCTGGGCATGCTGCTTGCCCTGTTCCTGTTGGCCTCGCTTTCCTCATCTGTAAACAGGGCTGATAGGAACAGGCACTGCATGTTGTGAGGGTGGGCTGAGCCACCCTCTTTCTTTGGAAGCACCTGGTGAAAGAAAAATGCAAGATGATAATGGCTGTTCAGCCAGCACCAGGCTGTGACTCCACAGGGTCTGGGGAGGGCTCCTCACTGCCCACGGCTTCCCCTGCCAATGCAATCATCACCTCCTGTGTGTGGATCTCACAGCCCAGGCGCGTGCTGGACTGCACCTCTGGGCCATCTTTCTGCCTTGCAGGGAGGAAGAGGGTTCCAAGCTGGGACCTTGTTGTGTGACTGTGGCTGAGACCCTGGAGGTCTCTGGACACCCCTTTGCCTCCTCTGTGTTGTCACTGAGCAGCTGAAATCATGGGCGTCATCTGGGTAGTTGGTGGGATTGGAGCCCAGCAGTGAGCTGGACCTGGTCTCCAGTGCAAAGGATGAGGCCCAGGGCACAGAGTGGAAGGTAGCAAGGTGGGCAGCTCTTCAAGGGCTGCTCAGGAGCTGAACAGGGGGCATGTGGCTCCATGCAGGTTAACCAAGAGATGCGATAAGCAACATGCCAGTTTAGCAGGCACGGCCTGCCTCAGCTCCCTGTGGAAGTCTGAGTTTTTGCCCTGTATTCTCTGGGTGGTTTTATGTTGGTATGAAGGTACTCCAAAGTTGCTCACAGAAAATGGCATCATAAGATACATTTCTTTCTTTTTTTAAAAAAATTTATTTTATTTTTATTGGAAAGTCAGATATACAGAGAAAAGGAGAGACAGAAAGGAAGATTTTCCATCTGATGATTCACTCCCCAAGTGACCACAATGGCCGATGCTGTGCCGATCCGAAGCCAGGAGCAAGGAACGTCTTTCCTGGTCTCCCACGCGGATGCAGGGTCCCAAGGCTTTGGGCCGTCCTCAACTGCTTTCCCAAGCCACAAGCAGGGAGCTGGATGGGAAGTGGAGGTGCCGGAATTAGAACCGACAACTATATGGGATCCCAGCGTGTTCAAGGCGAGGACTTTAGCCACTGGGCCACCACGTTAAACCCGATTTATTTCTTTTCATTGGAAAGATTTACAGAAAAGAGAGAACAAGAGAAAGATCTTCCATCCACTGGTTCACTCCCCCAAATGGCCGCAACAGCTAGGGCTGAACTAATCTAAAGCTGGGAGCCAGGAACTTCTTCTGGGTCTCCCATGAATAAAGGGGCCCACTGACTTGGACCATCCACCAAGACTTTCCCAGGCCATCAGCAGGGAGCTAGATCACAAGAGGAGCAGCCAGGATACGAACCAGTGTCCATATGGGATGCTGGCACCGCAAGTGAAGATAATGTCCTATGCCACAATGCCAGCCCCAAATGTTACTCTTGAAAATGTTATCTGTGTGCCAAGCACTGTATCATAGTCACTGAGTCTTTACAATCGCTCTGTGAGATAGTTCCTATCATGCTCATTTTACAGATGAGGGACTTGGTGCTCAGAGAGGTTAAACCATTAGCCTGAGCTCACCCAGCTGGTAAGTGTGGAGCCAGAATTTGAACCCAGATCCACCTATAACTCCATACATGGGAGGGGTCTTAATGCATATACTGTCCTACCCAGTGAATGAAAGAAAGGTGAGATTTTACTAGTGCTGTGTTTGGGGCTGGAGAGACAAGCCTGATAAGCAGAGAGCATGCAGAGAGCTTTCTCAGCATGAGACCAACACTCTAAGAAGGCACACACAGCGAACTAGGGCTTATTGAACATCTACTTGTCAGTGAGATGCAGCTCCAAAGATGGATCAGACACATACCTGGCCCAGCTCCTGACCTGCCTTCCAGAGGGCTGGGAGAAGTGATAGGCACATCAAGTAACCAATATGCTGCCCTATAAGATGTAGCACGGGAATGCCAGGAGGCCTTCCTGGAGGGGGTGATGAGTGGCTGCTGTGGTTGCAGAAGAGGCCCCAGCTCTTCCATGACCCTGATCCTTTTGCTGCACCCATGAGGTGTGTGAGCTTTGCAGAAGGGGTTTTTCACCACAGGGACTTTGGTGACGGTGGTGATTGTTTCTGGGAGTTCCAGTGGGGCCTCTGAGACTTTGTCCCTCTGTCCTAAGCCAACCACATGGGGGAGGGGAGATGGCCCACTGTGCTGAGAGCCAGAGCTGCTCTGAGAGTGTCAGCTGGACCTCTGCTAGCTGTAGCCTTGACTACCAACTGCTCGCTTTCTTACTGCAGGTTATAAGACCCTCCTCAAGTGCCTGTCGGGCAAATTCTGCCGCCGGGAACTGATCGGCATCATGGGCCCCTCAGGGGCTGGCAAGTCCACATTCATGAACATCTTGGCAGGATACAGGTGAGGAGGAGTATGGGCAGGGTGGGGCCGAGTGCAGGGGGCATGTGGCAGGCCTCTCCAACCTGTATCCCTGCAGGGAGTCTGGGATGAAGGGGCAGATTCTGGTGAACGGGAGGCCGCGGGAGCTGAGGACCTTCCGCAAGATGTCCTGTTACATCATGCAGGACGACATGCTGCTGCCGCACCTCACTGTGCTAGAGGCCATGATGGTGAGGCCACCTGTTCTCTGCATCTTCCTCCTTACCACCCCATCCTCCTGCTGGCCAAGAGGCCCAGATGCCGCCCCTCCCAAACAAACATTCCTTTCTCACCTCCTCTCTGGGCCCCCAGGTCTCCGCCAACCTAAAGTTGAGTGAGAAGCAGGAGGTGAAGAAGGAGCTGGTGAGTCAGGAAGGGGAGACAAGGGGACAGCTTGCCCTGGAGGTGGTGCTGCTCCTGAGTTCTGGGGCCCAGAGTTAGGTGTTGAGAGAGTCGGTGGTCAAGGCAGGGGACAGTGGACTTCAGGAAGATGCTCTGGAGAGGATGGGGGGTGGTGGTGGGGGTCAGCAGACTCTGATTGTATCTGTGGGGGTCCGGGGCGGAGCCAGGTGACAGAGATCCTGACAGCACTGGGCCTGATGTCCTGTTCCCACACGAAGACCGCCCTGCTCTCCAGCGGGCAGAGGAAGCGCCTGGCCATTGCCCTGGAGCTGGTCAACAACCCACCAGTCATGTTCTTTGATGAGCCCACCAGGTAGTTCGCGCGCCACCCCTGTTGCACTCCGCCCTGCATCTTCTCCCACACGCGTGCTGGGGGTTAGTGCCTCTGTATGCAGCCTCCTGGGACCAAGAAGAGGGCTTCTTCCTCATTGCCAACCTTACCCTTTAGGCAGGCAGGGGGCTTCCCTGGATGGGGGCTTCCTCTCTGATGGCCCTCCAGCCATCAGTCACCACGGGCCAGACCTGCCCCCTGCCATTGCCAGCTCCCAGGCCGCCGTCCCCAGTGCCAGTGCTTACATTCGGGTCACCATCAGTGGACACTGAGTGCCTGGTGTCCCATCTCCCAGCGGATCCCACCCCTCCCACTTGGCAGGCAGCCCCAGAGCACTTTGGATAACAGATAAGTCTGCCTAGGCACACACCCCTGCCCAAAAGAATGCAATGCCTCCCATTTCCAGCCCAGACCCAGTCCCCTCTGAGCTTCCCTCCCCGGCCTCACGGCTTGTATTTTATGCTCTAATAACACCAAAACCTTGCAGTTCCCTGGACAAACCGTGTGTTGCATACACCTAAGCTCTGTCCATCTGAGTCTTTGGCCTGGAGTGTCCTTCCCTGGGGCACCTCCCCATGTACTGTCATCTGGCTTGGCTCTGCCCTCATTCAGGCTCCTGCAGGTACCTGCTCGGACAAACCCCACCATGCTGCCACAGCACAGGTGCACCCTGACCCTCCTGCCGTGTTGCTACCCCATTTTCTACATTGCCTCTCATCACATGTGCACTTGTTCCTCTCTCCCTCCAGCCCAAAGTCAAGGTCTCATTCACGCCTCGCTATCATCCCAGTGCCAGGCAGACAATGGTGCCCAACATATGCTTGTTCAACCTGACATGGGGACTACTGGGTACTTGCAAAGGCTTGAAGCATCTGGAATCTACAGGAAAAGGGGGGTGGCCTGAGAGGTCCCTTCCTGCAGGCTCCATCCCTTTCACAGCAGCTATACTCAACACGACCCCCACCCCCGCCTCTTGTTCCCATGTCTTGGCCCTTCCCACCTCACCGGGCCCCCTGGTGGCCTCTCTCTGCACAGTGGCCTGGACAGTGCATCTTGTTTCCAAGTGGTGTCCCTCATGAAGTCCCTAGCCCATGGGGGCCGGACCATCATCTGCACCATTCACCAGCCCAGTGCCAAGCTCTTTGAGATGTTTGACAAGGTGAGTGTCCTGGGGCCTCCAAGAAGGCTGGTCTGAGATGAGGGGATGGGCAGTGGGACAGTCATAAGAGGTGCTGGCACCGGGGTCCTTGTGTGGCCTATCGTTTGTGTCTACCTGACACTTCTCTTTGTGCTTCAGCTCTACATCCTGAGCCAGGGCCAGTGTATCTTCAAGGGCGTGGTCACCAACCTGATCCCCTACCTGAAGGGGCTGGGCTTGTACTGCCCCACCTACCACAATCCGGCTGACTTCAGTGAGTGGCCTCTCTTTGGTGATGGTAGTTGAGGGGACCAGGATGAGCCATGGGGACCAACCTTGGCACTCAGACATCCTGAGGACAGAGTGGCACCACCCAATCTGAGAAGGGCTGGCCTTTCCTGGAGTGATGTGCTGAGTCCTGGCTGATGCCCCATTCTGTGTCCCCCCACAGTCATTGAGGTGGCCTCTGGCGAGTATGGAGACCTGAACCCCATGCTGTTCAGGGCGGTGCAGAACGGGCTGTGTGCCATGGCTGAGAAGAAGAGTAGCCCCGAGAAGAACGAGGTCCCCAACTCCTGTCCCCCCTGCCCTGCGGTGAGTGGGAGGGTGGTGCTGGGGAGAAAAGAGGCTTCTGTGGGCACTGGCCCTGCCAGAGGCACTGTTGTCCCTTAGGCCCACTGCCACCGCTGGGTGCTGGGAAGGGAACGCAGGACCTGCTGTAGACCTGCTATTGACTGCTGTGTGACCTTGGTCATGGTGCCTTAACCTCACTGCACTTTGGTTTTTACCTTCTCTTGTTTTTTCAGCAAACTAGGCATGTGTAGAGTGTTGGCCTCAGGGCTGATTAGGGCCCATCTATAGGCAAGGCTGACACTGTTCCCTTCAGTCTTGTGGCCAGTGTGGCTCATTGTTACTTCTGACCCACAGGGTTCTGGCGAGGACTCAGCAGGTGACTCTTGGGAGCTCCTATTATGGTGGTCGATGTGGCAGGCTGGGTCCAGGGCCAGTTCTCTTTCACAGATTAGCTACTGTAGCCCTGGAAAACCGGAAGCGTTGCTTAGTGTTACCGTTTTTGTATTTATTTATTTTTATTGGAAAGACAGATTTGTAGAGAGAAGGAAAGACAAAGATCTCCCATCTGCTGGTTCATGCCCTAAATGGTCACAACAGCTGGAGCTAAGCCAATTCAAAACCAGGAGCTCCCACGTAGGTACAGGGTCCCAAGGCTTCAGACCATCCTCTCCTGCTTTCCCAGGCCACAAACAGGGAACTGGATGGGAAATGGAGTAGCTGGGACACAAACCAGCACCTATATGAGATCCTGGTGCTTGCAAGGGGCAAGATTAGCCAGTTGAACTATGATGCTCAACCCTGTTTTTGTATTTTTAAAGCAGAAGCCATTTTGTTAACTTATTTTTCAGTTTTAAACATTTATTTTTATTTATTTATTATTTTTTATTAAGAGGCAAAGGGAGACAGAGCTTCTGCTAATCGGTTTACTTCCCAGATGCCCGAGAGTCAGGAACTCGATGCAGGTCTCCCCTGTGGGTGGCAGGAACTCAGCAACCTGAGCCATCACCAGTGTTTGCTGGGTGTACACTAGCGGGAGTTAGAGCCAGGACTCGAATACAGGCACTCTGGTACAGGCTGGGAACATCTTCACTGGCATCTTTATGGTAAACAAAAGCCCTTGTTATTGTTGTTATTGCCATTATTATCATTACTAAGTAAAGTAATGTGAAATGGGTGGCCAAAAGAAATTAAACAAGGGTGCCTCAAAAACCTCATGAAAAATGGAATTAAAAGATAAGCTTAGTTTGGTAGAAAAATGTTGAAACCTATGCACGGCGCTTTCAAAATACTCGGTTTCCATGCACTTTGTGATAACGCTTGCACACAGAGTTGGTGCTTCCATGGATTAAAGATACAACTGATTGGGGCTGGTACCATTGTAGAGCAAGCAGATTTAGCCTCTGCTCTGTGGTGTCAGAATTCCTTATGAGCACCAGTTTGATGCTCCACTTCTGTTCCAGCTCCTTGCTAATGTGCCTGGGAAAGCAGTAGAGAATGGCTCAAATATTTGGGCCCCTGCTAACCATGTGGGAGACCTGGAAGAAGCTCCTGGCTCCTGGCTTCAGCCTGGTCCAGCTCTGGCCATTATGGCCATTCAGGGAGTGAACCAAAAACAGATCTCTTTTTTTCTCTCTGTAACTTTGCCTTTCCAATGAAGATCAACTAAATATTTTTTTTAAAGGTTTATTGGAATGGCAAAATTACAGAGAGGGGAGGCAGAGAGAAAGGCCATCTATCTGCTGATTCACTCCCCAAATGGCTGCAATGGCCAAAGCTGAGCCGATCCCAATTCTGGGTCTCCCACACAGATGCAGGATTCCAAGGCTTTGGGACCTCCTCCTTTGCTTTCCATGTCATAATCAAGGAATTGAATGGGAACCAAAGCAGCCAAGACATGAACTGATACACTATGATACACTACAAGTGTTTATTCCCTCCTCACCTCTCTCTCTAAATCTCTCTGTGAGTCACACGCTTTAGCCTGGTCTGCAAGTACCCAACCCAGTGCTGGAGGATTCCTGTAGACCTGGAGGAGCCCTGCCTTGGTGACGGGCTCCGTGTTTTCCCATCACTTGGGCTGGAATAGACTCATCGGATCCAATTTTCTCTCTCCAGGAAGTGGACCCCATCGAAAGTCACACCTTCGCCACCAGCACCCTCACACAGTTCTGCATTCTTTTCAAGAGGACCTTCTTGTCCATCCTCAGGGACACGGTGAGGTGTTAGCCATGGAGGGGAGAAGAAGGAAGCTGTCAGAAGTCCATAAAGCTGGCCCACTGTGCTGTAGCATCCCAGCACCTGTGGGTGTCAGCCTGTGACACACCCCCTCTGCTCAGGTCCTCACCCACCTGCGTTTCGTGTCCCACGTGGTGATTGGTGTGCTGATTGGTCTCCTGTACCTGCATATTGGTGACGATGCCAGCAAGGTCTTCAACAACACTGGCTGCCTCTTCTTCTCCATGCTCTTTCTCATGTTTGCTGCCCTTATGCCCACCGTGCTCACCTGTGAGCGGAGATGCCTGGGGCATGGGCCATGGGTGCTGGGGGAAGGAGTATTAGTGGTGGAGGCAGGGTGTTGGTCAGTTGTGCCCAATCTGCCTGTGTCCACAGTTCCTTTAGAAATGGCCGTCTTCATGAGGGAGCACCTCAACTACTGGTACAGCCTCAAAGCCTATTACTTGGCCAAGACCATGGCTGACGTGCCCTTCCAGGTGAGCCCCTCCTACCTGTCTACATCCTGGCTTGTTTTTTCCATTCTTTCCCTGTACTCACTGAGCAACTAGGTGATGAGTACCCACCATGCACCAAATCTAGACTAGCCCCAGGGATGCGACAGCAAACCAGCCTGATAAAACTGTGAGCTCATGATGCTGCTGTTCCAGTGAAAACAGTGATCAAGGGAGAATGATAGTCAGGAGGGCACCTTACACAGGACCCTGTCCATCTCATGAGATGCAGCCAACTTATAGCTACACATGTCCCTTTGTTTCATTGTCCCCATTCATGGCTACTTGTAAGAAGCCGATGATTGACAAGTTCTTAGAATAGTGCTTGGCATACATGAATTGCTTAATAAATGTTGGCTGGTTTCTGCTGTGACTGCCATCCCTGTCATCCCAGCACCAGGGCTGCCAGTATACCCACAGGCACCTGCAGAGCAGGAAAGGGCGTTCCTTCCCCAGGATGGATGCTGCATGGGTCCAGGGTGCACAGCTCTAGGACAAGAACACAGGCTGGATGTTACCCTCTAACTGGGCACACACACTTGATTGTCTGTCTGTCTGTCTGTCTCTGTCTGTCTCTCTCTCACACACACACAGATTTTATTTGAGTAGCAGGCAGAGAAAGCATCATCCACTGTTTCACTACCTAAATGCCTGGGAGCCAGTAACTCAATCTGCGGCTTCCCAGGTGCACATAAGCAGGAAGCTGCGATCAGGAGCAGAGCTGGGTCTTGATCCAAGACACTCAGATGGGATATGAGTGTCCTCATCTGTGTCTGAAACACTAAGCCAAACGCTTGGCTCCTGCCTCCATCTTTGGTTCCTTTTCTCTTTCTCGTGATTTTGCAATTTTTCTTGTAATATTTTTCTACTATTGATTCACTTGAGAGGCAGAGACTGAGGGAAAGAGATAATAAATACAGAGACCAAAAGAGCTCCCATCTGCTAGTTCACTTCTCAGATACCTGGAACCAGGAACTGCATCCACGTCATGCACACAAGCATAGGAACCCAGTTACCTGAGCCTTTACTGCTGTCACGCAGGGTCTATGATGGCAGGAAGCCAGTCAGGAGCCAGATCTGAGGTAGGGGGAAAGAGTCTTAGCTGGTATCTTTAACTGCTAGGCTAGAGGCCTGCTCGCTCTGCCCACCTCCCCTTTAAGAATGCTTCATTGCGTACACTTGAAGCTTACAATGTTATGTTATCAGATGTACATACACAGTGGAGTGTTACCATGGTGAAAGAAATTAGCATAGCTTTCATCTCATGTAGTTACCTTCTGTGACAAAATATTTTTTTTTGTTAATGGAAAGGCAGAAAGAAGGAGAGACAGAGAGTTTTTTTTCTTTCTTTTTTAAAAAAAGATTTATTTATTTTAATTACAAAGTCAGATATACAGAGAGGAGGAAAGACAGAGAGGAAGATCTTCCGTCCGGTGATTCATTCCCCAAGTGAGCGCAACGGTCAATGCTGTGCTGATCCGAAGCCAGGAGCCAGGAACTTCTTCTGGGCATCCCACACAGGCACAGGGTTCCAAGGCTTTGAGCCATCCTCGACTGCTTTCCCAGGCTACAAGCAGGGAGCTGGATGGGAAGCAGGGCTGCTGGGATTAGAACCGGTGTCCATATGGGATGCTGGCGTGTTCAAGGCAAGGACTTTAGCCACTAGGCCACGCTGCCGGACCCAGAAAGATTTTCTATCCACTGGTTCACTCTCCAAGTGGCCACAATGGCCAGAGCTGAGCTGATCTGAAGCCAGGAGCCAGGAGCTTCTTGGTCTCCCATGTAGGCACAGGGTCTCAAGACTTTCGGACATTCTCTATTGCTTTTCCAGATCACAAACAGGGAGCTGGAAGGGAAGTGGAGCAGTTGGGATCCCAGCATATGCAAGGCAAGGACTTTAGTTACTAGGCTACTGCGTCAGGCCCCCAATCAATATTTTTAATACTAACTGTATGAACTCTAGTCCTCCTGTTGTAGCTCAGATCTTCAGTCTTGAGGATCACAGAGTGGATAGTCTTATGGGAAAACCAAACAGGCGCCCAAGATGAATGAATTCAGTAAGCATGTAAGAGATAAGCAGACCCAGAGGGAGGACTTCGGGAGCTCAGAGCTGGAAGTCACTGTGTCTGAACTAGCCAGCAGGGTCCCCATGGCAGGTCAGTCACATGTCAGTTGGGGAATCAGGTGAACCAGAAAGTGGAGGCAGTACAAGCAGGGACCACTCCAGGCACAGGTGCACTCAAGTGTCTGTCCAGGTGGCATGGAGGGTCTTGGTCCCTGTGTCCTTGACTTGAAGTTCTCCACCTACCTGTGTGCCTGCTCCCTAGGTGGTATGCCCGGCAGTGTACTGCAGCATCGTGTACTGGATGACGGGTCAGCCTGCTGAGACCAGCCGCTTCCTGCTCTTCTCAGCCCTGTCCACCGCCACAGCCTTGGTGGCCCAGTCTTTGGGGCTGCTCATTGGAGCTGCCTCCAACTCACTACAGGTGGGAGGGCTGGCAGGTGGTGGGGACCCAAGGAGGAGGTGGGATCTGGTGAGAGCAAACACAAGCTGTCCTAAGGAGCAAGACTGGTCTGTCTGTCCTGGCCATCCCTCCCCCTGCCTTGCTATGATGACCTGGTGCTTGCCCCCCTCCTCTAGGTGGCCACCTTTGTGGGCCCAGTCACCGCCATTCCTGTCCTCCTGTTCTCTGGCTTCTTTGTCAGCTTTAAGACCATCCCCACTTACCTGCAGTGGAGCTCATATCTCTCCTACGTCAGGTCAGTGCCCCTGCATTCCCCATCTGCCCCTGCCTCCCCCCATCTGCCCCTGCCTGCCAATTCCCTTGATCCTGTAAGAGGCCACGCCCAGGGCAAATCTTCCCCAGTCTGGTGCCTGCTCAGCCCTCCTCCTGCAGATGGAGCACCCTGGATGGCACCCCAGGGAGCAGAGCTCTGCAGCTGGGCTCTCAGCTGTTTGCCCAGGGAGCGAGGACCCCATTCTCCAGGTTCTGCTCTGATGACCCTCCTGGCGGCCTAGGTATGGCTTTGAGGGTGTGATCCTGACCATCTATGGTATGGAACGAGGAGACCTGACGTGCTTAGAGGAACGCTGCCCATTCCGCGAGCCCCAGAGCATCCTCCGGGCACTGGATGTGGAGGACGCCAAGCTCTACCTGGACTTCCTGGTGCTGGGCATCTTCTTCCTGGCTCTGCGGCTGCTGGCATACCTTGTGCTACGTTACCGGGTCAAGTCTGAGAGATAGAGCTGTGCTCCCGCCCCGGCCTGGGCCCCCCCGCCTCCGCAGCAGGAAGCCCTCAGCCCCAGCCTTTTGGGGGCTGTTTTAACCTTGTAGACCTGGGCACCGATTGCTGGTGCAGCCACCCTCTCCTTCCCCTAGAGCTCCCCAGGCTGGCTATGGGACTTGTGATCCCTCCCAGCCTGGGCCACCCTGGGGTTCAGCCTTTGCACTGTGCCCAGGAGTCTTCCCAAGTTGATGCAATTTGTAGCTTCCCCTCTACTCTCTCCAACACCTGCATGCAAGGACCACTGGGAGGCTGCCACCCTCCTCCCTGCCCTGGCACCTTTCTCTGTTACCTGTTCAGGAGCCGAAGGCCCCATGCTCATTTACAACCGACCAAAGTGGCCCCCTCCGAGGGGGTTCCCCACCACACAAGTGTTTGTAAACTGGGTGGCTCAAAGGTTGGAGTTCCAGGGCTGAGCCCTGTTGGGGTCCCCTGGAAACCCCATTTTGGATGTGGGAACGGAGCAGGGAAGGGCTCTGGAAGCTTCTTCTTCTTCCACCTCCTCCTCTCTCTTCCCCTTCCCCAAGACCCTGGCTGACTCTGACAATCTACTAGGACAGAAGCTGGATTTTCTGTCTGTGTCTTCACTCCCTATTCTGGGGAATGGAGAGACCTGGGACCATGGGACACTCCTTCCCTGTCCCTGTCACTGATCCCTGTTGCCTTTGGGGAGGAGAGGGCTGGTGGCACCTCTGCAATAATGTCTGTGCTTCTCTCACACTTGCCACTGGAACTGGAGAATGCGCTTTATTCTGGGTGGCAGTTGGGGGATTCTGGTGAGGGGAGACTGGACTCTGCTTCTACCGCAGGCCTCACAAAGCTCCCTCACAGCTCCAGAGGGAGAGGCAGGTACATGCAAACAGGCAATCTCAGTGCTCTACTTGCCATTGTTTCCCACACAAGGACAGGTGGTAATGGTCCATGCTGCAGGGAGGGCAGTGCCAGGCGCCTCCTGGATGAGACCCTCGGGAGGAGGCTGGTGCTGCCCAGGTGTCTCCAGGCTCTGTAGGTGTCTACCGCTTCCCCTCATCTGCTCTTCTCCCAGCCAAGGGTGGCACAGGGCACTAGCTCCCTGGAGATCAGGACCCAACACAAGCACAAGCATGGGCATACCACCACCACCCTGTGACCCTCCTTTTGTGTTCCAACTTGGCATTCTCATCAGCTTGCTGCTCATTCAAACTCCATGTCTCTCTCCCTTGTCATTATCAGGTGTCCCTGGGCATCAGAGCAGCCAGCCTGCTCACCAGGGTGGCAGACACAGGTGGAGTGAGTCTGCTGGCTTTCCTGGGGGGGGGTACAGGTGCAATTGTCCTCTGCTGGCTGCTCTGCCCAGGGCTACCCCTGCCACCAGGACTAGGACCTCTCTCCCCTCTCCCACCCTGCCACAGGTTCTCCTCACACAGAGATGCCAGTTGTATTTGTGGGGTTTCACCCATTATTAATAAAACCTATATTTATACAGTATATGAGGTGTGTGGGTTGGCCACCTAGTGCCATGATTGTGTGTCGGGGGAGGGGAAGGACTTCAAAACAATTGGCAGGATCTTGTTGGCTTTCAGAAATCTGGCAGAGGCTGCTGAAAGTCCCAGGTAAATGCCAAGGTGGTGACTATGTGTTTCATTCAATTTCTGTATCCCGCCTTTGACCTTATAGATGTTGTATCCTCATTATTTTGAGGGAGTCCCCTGCTAACCGTGCATGACCCCTCAAGACAACCCATTTTGCAAATAAGCCCCCAGCTGAGATCTGAGTTAAGGAGCTTGAAAGAGGCCCTCAGTGGAGAAGAATTTGGATCTACAGGCCAAACTTCCTATTCTCTTAAAACATAATTAGTTATTTTAATGAAAAAAAGATTTATTTGAAAGGCAGAGTTATAAAGAGTGAGAAGCAAATGCAAAGGGAGAAGGAGAGGGAGATCTTTCATCTGCTGGTTCACTCTACAAATGGCTGCGGTGGCCAGGACCAGGTCAGGCCAAAGCCAGGAGCTTCAGCCAGATGTCCCACTTGGGTGCAGGGACCTAAGCACCTGGGCTGTCTTGAGCAGCTACTTTGTTATTATTATTATTTAAATTTTATTTTTTATGATGTTTACATAGTTGATTAGAGTGGGAAGTGTTGAGAATTAGGGGAAAGTGGGTGAGACCGTTATTTCCACATTTTCTTCTTCCTGTATCTGGGGGAAGCGGGAGATAAGGGGAAAAACCGCACCCAGCCTCTCAACTGCCCCAGTACCAGGGGATGGGGAACGGCCGCCTGATGTCATCCCAGGGCCTCCGATGTGCAGCATGTTCTGAGGGTTCTGCCAAGTGGTTTTGATGTTCTAACATGCTGTTGATCTTGCAGACCCAAGGATGAGGAACTCCTTTCAGGGTCCATTGGCTGACTTAGTTCACCCTAGAGTCTCCATTTACCCAGAAATTTGCTCTCAAGCTTTGCTGGGTTAGTTGAACAATTTGTTTTGCTCTCCTCCCTCTGCTATAGTACCGGATGTCTTCTGCAGACTCCCATGCACTGCCAAATCCTCCATGTGCATCTGGGTATGCTGTCCACTGTTCCATCTAAGCCGCTGAGGAGGCCCAGTTCTGACACATGCACTCCACTGTCAGATCACAGGTCCTGCCACTCTTCCCATGCTTGGAGTTCTGAGTCTAGCAGTTCAGTTGGGGCCACCTTCAAGGAAATATTGTCTGAGGTGATCCCAGACCTGACTTTTGTGTGTGCCCACTGGTACGGGGTTCAGCTCATTCTGTCAACTACTTCAGTCTACATACACACTGACAGTTGCAATTGCTAGATCAGATCTATCTCCAGTCCCATCCCATTGAGTTCTTATACACATCATTGGGCATTGAAGCCTAGTTCAACCCAACTGACTTCACCCTCCAGCCCACATGCATGCCAGTGGGTGCCACTACCTGTCTAGCCAGGCCTGCTCCCAGTCCTGTTCTCATGCTCACCATTGGAAGCTGCAGCCCATCAGAGAAGTGCCCACAGTTTCGCTACTGGACCCACTCCCTACCCCTATCCATACCCCAGATTTTGTACTCTCAGGGTGGTTCTGTAGTCTAGCTCAATAGGGCTTACCCCTAGTCCCATCACTTGCCAGCTGATACTGCAGCAAAACCCGACCAGCCTGCCCTTACTGTTGGCTCATGCATGTGCCGGTAGTTACAGTGAGCTAGCCTAGCCTGGCTCTTCCCCTAACCCAATTCACATTTAGTCCTACCTGGCCTGGTTTGTCCCCAGTCCCAGCTCTCATTCACCATCAGGAGAAGTGGTTCAGCGGGGAAGTCTCCTCAGCTCCCCCACTGGGCTTGGACCACCTACGAGCCCCAGTCTCGCATGTGCTGGTAAGTGCTGCGGTTCCATCTGATCTGACCTGGTCTGCCCCCAGTTCCAGCTCATGCTGGCGGATATTGCTATTGGTCCACTACTGTCCCAGATGCATTAACAGGGAGTTGGATTGTAAGTGGAAAAGCTGGGATTTGAACCAACGCTTAATATGAGATATCAGTGCAGCAGGTGGTGGTTCTATGCATTATACCACAGTCCCAGCCCATAATTATTTTATTTGAGAGAGAAAGAGATAAATCTTCTATCTGTTAATTAATATCCTAAATACTCACAACAGCCAGAGCCTGGGCCAGGCCAAAGCCTGAGGCTTGGAACTCAGTCTTGGGTTTCCCAAGTGGATGGCAGGAACCCAAGTACTTAGACTGTTACTGCTACTTCTAAAGTGCATGTTAACAGGAAGATGGACTAGTGGTAGAGGTGGGGTTTGAACCTAGGCACCTCATGTGAGATGCAGGAGGCCCAAGGGGCATCTTTTCAGCTGCACACAGAACACTCCTTGCTGCATTGCACTTCTTGCAATGCTTGCTCTGGTGAAGCTGTACGCTGTGACGGCAGCAGACCCGTGTTCCTGTCGAAGGACACATGGATCTCTCCAACATTCACTGAGCCCTGGCAGCTCTGGTGGGAGCAAGGTCATGTTAGCAAGAGCCAACAGTGACCCTGCAGCCTTGGAGTGGTATGGAAGGGCCCTCCCTGGGCTTATTCTGCTTTTCTCCTTTCCTTCCATTCCTTCCCAGTTGGTCACACTTAGCAGAGTGAGTCAGTGGCTGCCAGGACTGCAGCAGGCTTGGCATCCAGAGGTCTGGAGTAGGCTGATGTCTAAAAGGTTTCAGTAAGGGTGACAGCCTGAAGCAGCCCATGAAGTAGCCTGCTGTAAGAAGGCACTGCTACCCACCCTGCCAGCTGCGTCAACACTCATTGTGCCACAGTGGGAACTGCGTGCCCTATGCTGAACTAGGCTCCAATCTATGAGTGGTTGGGTGCTTCCCTGAAAATGGTCTCACCTCATCTTCTTATGGGGTCTTGGGCAAGGGGGCAGAGCAAGTGGAGAAACATATGAGTCTTCCCTCCTGGGATTCTAGTTCATTTGTGAGGGCATTCTGGTGTCACCCCCTCAACTGCAGTGATGCCAAAAGCTAGCTACTCATGCCAAGTCAAAGGGCGTCGATAGACAGCATTCCTTCAAATTCTTCATCTTAGGGGACAGAATGGCTAATCCACTGCATGTAAGCACTGGCATCCCATTTGGGCACCCATTCACATCCCTGCTGTTTCACTTTTGATCAAGCTCTCTGAGAAAACAGTGGAGGATGACCCAAGTGCTTGGGACCCTGTACCAATGTGGGAGACTGGGAAGAAGCTCCTGGCCCCTGGCTTCAGATCGACTCACCACTTAACTGTTTTGTCAAACACTGGTCCCTCTTCCTCTTTTGAAATAAAAACACCCTGAAGCCAGACATCCTTGGTATCCCATATGGCTGTTCCAACTGGGGAGTGAACCAGCAGAGGACAGATCTCCTTTCTTTGTAACTGGCTTTCAAACAGATAAATAAATCTATCACATGAACACACATTAAAATTATTATTTATTGGAAAGGCAGAGTTACAGAGAGAGAAGAAACAGAAGGACATCTTCACACTGCTACAGCAGCCTGAACTGGGCCAGCACAAAGCAAGGAGCCTAGAACTCCATTCATGTCTCCCACAGGAATGACAGGGGCCCAAGCACTTGGGCCATTCGCTGCTGCTTTCTCAGGCACATTAGTTGGGAGCTGGATTGGAAATGGAGCAGCAGGACAGAAACTGGCACGTACATGGAATGCCAGCATCACAGGCAGCAGGTTAATCCACTGAGGCACAATACTGGCTCCAAATTCAGTTATAAGTGGCCCACTCTCCCTATTAAAAGGCAAATATTCTGGGGCCAGCGAGGGCCATTTAGGCATAGAGAACATGCATAGAATGGCTCTCATATTTCCAAAGGGAGCTCTTTTGATTTCCACAGCAACCTCATGGGCACCACAGTGTTCTGTCTTTACAGAAAAGGTGATGAAGTAGGAAGAAACGACTCCAGCAAGCTCTAAAGATCCTGTGTTCCTGGGCCTGGCACTGTGGTTCAACAGGTCAATCTTCCACATGCAAGTGCCAGGACCCGTATAGATGCTGATTAGTGTCCTAGCTTCTCTACTTCCCTGCTTGTGGCCTGGGAAAGCAGTAGAGGATGGTCCAAAGCCTTGGGACCCTGCACCCATATGGGAGACTTGGAAGAGCATCCAGGCTCCTGGCTTTGGATCAGCTCATCCGTGGCCATTACAGCCACTTGAGGAGTGAATCAGTCGATGGAAGATTCTTCTGTATCTCCTCTCTGTAGATCTGCCTTTCCAATAAAAATAAATAAATAATTCTTAAAAATAAAAGATCCTGTGCTCTTGTCACTGTGATTCCCTTCCCTTCCCTGGAACCTGATGAAATGGGGGCATCTATGTGCTCTAAGCATGTCCAGAAATGAACACCTTCCTCTCTGGACCTCCATAGCATGTTCAGAAATAGACACTGACCTGCCTGAACTCAGAGCCTGACGAATGCAGCACCCTTCTGGTGGTCAGGGCCAAATGCTGGAGGCCAGAACTAATCAAGACAGTTCTTCACTCCATGGCACCCCATCCTGAAGTCACATGTGGAGGCGAGGCCACTGTGAGGCATGACTCATAGTACTTCTGTCTGCTGGAAACCAAATTATATGTTTCTGATGAAACCTGCCTGGCTGTTGTACCTATGGGGGCGGGGAACAGCTTACTGTGAGCCAGGCCCAGTAACTGTGGTCTCAGGACGGAGTGCCCTGAACCCTGAGACCATAGTCAGAGGACTGCTCTGCTTTCCCTCCGCTTCCCTTGGGCCAATCCTCTTAAAGAACTTATCTTAGGATGCAAATTACCAATGTTCCTGTGGCTTCCAGAGCCTTTCCTCTTCTGGCTTATTTTAACTGATTAATTAATTAATTAATACTGGAAGGCAGAGAAAAGGAGACAGAGAGAAAGATCATCCATCCACTGGTTCAATCCCCAAATGGCCACAATGGCCAGAGCTGAGCTGATCCAAACCCAGGAGCCAGGAACTTCTTCTGGGTCTCCGATGTGGGTGCAGGATCCCAAGGACTTGGGTCATCCTCTGCTGCTTTTCAAGGCCACAAGCAGGGAACTGAATGGAACATGAAGCAGGCAGGACAAGAACTGGCATCCATATAGGATTCTGGTGCTTAAAGTGGGAAGATTAGCCAATGGAGCCACTGCACAGGCCTGCTAACCTATTATTATTATTATTCTATTTATTTATTTTTCTTGGAAAGTCAGATATACAGAGAGGAAGATCTTCTGTCTGTTGATTCACTGCCCAAGTGACCACAACAGCCGGCGCTATGCCAATCAGAAGCTAGGAACTAGGAGCTTCTTCCTGTTCTCTTACACGGGTCCAGGATTCCAAGGCTTTGGGTTGTCCTCTACTGCTTTCCCAGGCCACAAGCAGGGAGCTGGATGGGAAGCGGGGCTGCTGGGACTAGAATGAGTGCCCATATGAGATCCTGGCACATTCAAGGCGAGGACTTTAGCTGTTAGGCTACCATGCTGGGCCAGTGGCCTTTTTTTTTTTCTTAGTAACATCCAGTTCCTATATCACCTCTTTTGCCAGATGAAGTTGTTAACTTCCTCTTCCAGGCTCAATTTCTTTCTTTTCTTTTTTCTTTTTTTATTAATTACATTGCATTATGTGACGCAGTTTCATAGGCTCTGGGATTCCTCCACCTCTCCCCGTACCCTCCCCCTATGGCGGATTCCTCCACCTTGTTGCAGTATTACAATTCAAATTCAGTCACGATTCTTTCATTGCAAGCATATACCAAGCACAGAGTCCAGCATCTTATTGTCCAGGTAAATTCAACGGTTCCTTGGGGAGACCATCTTTGGTCTGAAGCAGGCTGAATTTCTCAAGAAGTCTCTGTGCATCCGGTGCCAACGCCCCCAGTGGTAAATGCTACTCTCTGGTTTCCACATACCTGACTGTGCTTGGCAACTGGCCACCCAGGTCTGGGCTTGGCCGGGAGGGGTAGGGTACTCAGTCCTAACCCAATATGTCACTTTTCAGTGAATGAACAAACATCTCTGTGGGAAGATCCTGTTACCAGAAAAGCTCGGTGAGTTCTTTCTTCAGTTTAATATAGAAATGAAAAGCCGGGAACTGATTGCAGACAGAGAAGTTTATTTACAAAGTGACCAGGTAAGTGGGGAAAGCACCTCCCAAGAGAGAGAGAGAACTCAGAGGTGATTGCCTCTCGAAAGGAGAGAGGGAGAGACACCAAAGGGGTCTTTGGAAAGGTCTTGGGGTTTTAAGCCTTCCCTGATCCCTCCTTGTTGGGTGGGAACCTGCAGGCAAGATGTTCCCCCTTAGTGGTCTATTAACCAATTAGGAAATGGCTGAACAATTATTGTGCCACCCCCTTGAAGGCGTAGCCACAATTTCAGAAGGTTTGGGTAGTCTCAGATCCAGGTTGTTTTTTGTACCAATTTGGAGAGGAGTACAAATCGCAAAACTTTCTTCCCAGCCCTGCCTGGGGAAGCCATGTGGGAGTTTGCTGTTCATTGCACACCTCTGTTCTCTGCACATGTGTTTGCACGTGGAGGTGTGCCCTGGCTGGGGGGTGGTGAGCGACTCCTGGCCTGAACCCTGCGAGCTCTGAGTGTGACTTGTGTGGAAACACAGTGATAAGGGTGGGAGCTTGGAGCAGCCAGAAGCCCCCAGGCAAGGTGGTGATTAAGTCATACCGGAAAAGCAGGTTTGGATGAGAGCTGCCCTTCACCCCTCGCCCCCATCTGCAGGCCACTCAGTGAAGTCAGAAGAGACCCAAGTACAGAAGAGAGGGCGCCTAAAGGCCTTAGGCTCCGGTGTCTGCTTGAAGGAAGACAGAGGTGAAGGGGCACTGGGGGGAGGCGGTGCCTCGGGAAGCGGAGGCGGCGCGTGAGGTAGGAACACCAGGGCGATCTCTTCCTAGTCGGGCCAGCCAGCCCAAGTCGCGGCTCCCTCTGAGCTTCAGCCTCCTACGTCAAATGGGAATCTGTAGCCTCACCCCGCCCGGAGGTGGTTCCTGAGGTCACAGGATGTGAGTGGCGCTTGGGGACCTGCAGGGGGCAGCACGAGCAGGGACCCAGGGCTGTGCCCACGGAAGGGGCGGGTGCCCAGGAGGGCGAGTGCCCGCCCCGCGCCCGCAGTAGGGCACCGGGCCGGCTCCGGCCCTCCTCCTCCTCCTCTTCCTCTTCCTGGGACCCCGCAGCCCGAGCGCCCGGCTCGTCCATGCTCGTGCCCGCGCCCGCTGCCGAGCAAGCGGGCTCAGGCGGCCAGGAAGCGCCGCGCCCAGCTGGGAGGCCGTGGGAGACGCCGGCCGCCCCCGGCGCGGTAAAGGCCTAGTGGGCTCCTGCGCCCCCGCGCCGGGCAGGTGCTGCCGACGCGGGGCTGGGCGGGGCCGGGGCGGGGGAGGGCCGCCGGGCTTCTCAGTGCTGTGTCGCCTTCAGCTTCTGCCGCTGCGTCCCTGAAGCCAATTGCAGCTGAAAAGCTGCTTGGAACCCACTGAGTGGAGGACTTGTGGTCCTGGGAACGCCCCTGGCCCTGCTGCTGTGAGCCGCATTTTCTTTCTGTCCCCAGAGCTGGGGTGAACATCTTGGGTCAGTGACCCTGGATCTGGTGTTATTTCTGAGTCTTCCCAGACTTCCTGTCCCCAGTCCCTGGGACTGCTGCCCAGCCAACTAGCCCGCCCCTGCCTTGATGGGCCCAGGCCAGCCAGTTTGCCCTATTCGTGCTTTTCCTTAGTGGGAGACCTAAGAGAAAGCAGGATCTAGTGAAGGGAACACAGGGTAGCTCAGGAGAGGGAGCCTTAGAGCAGAACCTTAAAGGTGGAGAAGGATTCTGACAGGGGAGGGTTTGAACAAAGCTAGAGACCAATGGGGACAAACCTAGAACAATGGATTGTGTGGGTTAGCTGTTTGTTAATAGCCTAGGATTTAGGAAAGTGCCTGTGGGGCAGGTGTTTGGTCCAGAGTATATGCACCTGCTTGGGGCTCCTGCATCCTTGCTGGGAGTGTGCCTGGGTCCAGAGTCCTGACTGTGCTTTGGATCCCAGCTTCCTGCTGGTGAAAACTGGCAGAGGTGGACCCCTGCCATCCACCTGGGAGACCCGGAATGAGTTTGGTGCTTCTGGCTTGGGCCTGATACAACTCTGGCTGTTGAGAGAAGTGAACCAGCAGATGGAGAATCTTCTCATTCTATGTTGTTGTCTTTCAACTAAATGGAAAATAAATTTAAAATTAGGAAGGTAGTTGGTGCTGGAATGTATTGATAAGCAGAGAGGCTAGCAGGAAGATGGCACCTGCCCTCCACACCCCCACCTCCACCCCCAACCCCAGTCCTGAGGTGGTCTGAGTGAATTCTGGAATGACAGATATGCAGAGCACCAAGCAGTGTGTGTGGTGGGAGGAGGAGTTGGAAGGATTCTCCCCATTGTGTGAAGGGCCTGGAGGAAGCATCTGAAGATTGGTTGAATTTCCACTGTAAATCCTGCTGCTGGGAAGATGTTGCAACTAAGTAACTAGAGGGGAGGCGGAATGCAGAGTTCAGTGGGAAGCCCTGGCAGCCTCCCCCTAGGAGCTGTCAGCTAGAAAGTGGGTTCATTTGCAAATTTATTATTTATGCCAACCTAACAGGCAGCTTACATAAAAGTCACAGGGAAGGGAACCAGTGCAGTGGCCTAAAGTCCTTGCCTTGAATGTGCCAGGATCCCATATGGGCACTAGTTCTAATCCCGGCAGCTCCACTTCCCATCCAGCTCCCTGCTCGTGGCCTGGGAAAGCAGTCGAGGATGGCCCAAAGCCTTGGGACCCTGCACCCGCATGGGGGACCTGGAAAAAGCTCCTGGCTTCTAGCTTCGGATTGGCACAGCACCGGCTGTTGTGCTCACTTGGGGAGTGAATCATTGGATGGAAGATCTTTCTGTCTTTCCTCCTCTCTGTATATCTGACTTTGTAATAAGAATAAATAAATCTTAAAAAAAAAAAGTCGCAGGGAAGATAAAAAGAAATAACCATTAAAACCCAACCTTAAAAAAGAAAAAGAAAAAAACCTAAAGGACTTGATAGCTAGGGAGCAGAGGGGAGTGAATAATTATTTCTAGGGAATCTAGGCTCAAAAAGCCACTGGAAACAAATACAACCAAGTTAAAAAGAAAAAGTGGCACCTGCATAAAGCAGTTTGCAAGGGTGAAACTCATGGGGGAGAAAGAAAGCCTTTTGTGTAGCCTTAGGGGAGAAGCAGGGGGTGGCAGTGGCAGAAGATACAATGGGATAGGTCAGGTTGGGGTTCTAGCAAGAGAGCTGGAAGCAGGCTGGGTGCGTGTGTGGGGAAGGAGCCAGCCTCTTCCAACGGCTCCTAGTGTGGGTAGGGGTGACAGGTAGATGGATAAGGGGGGAGGGGTGGTGGTGATCATCCAGCCACACTGTTGTTCTTGCAGGGGAGTCGGGTAGACGGTGGTGCCAAGTTCCCGTGACTTCTCTGCCAGAATGAGATGGGGCCACCATTTGTCCAGGGCCTACTGGGGCTCTGGTCTGGGAAGACCAGCGCCACCATCAGGTGAGCAGAAAGTAGTGGTTTTTGTATCTGTCCTCTTGCTGTGGTTTCAGTGTTCAGATGGTGCCCCCTGGAGGGCAAGGATCTTGACACCGGGCAGACTGGTCTGTGTTTGGGGTTCTTTATTGTTGACCTTGGGCACAGCTCAACTCCTGGAGCTTCCTCCGCCATCCCCCCATCCTGAAATAAATGCAGTTAGCCTAGGTGGTCCTGGAGGTACCCTGCAGCTGGCTCAGTCTAGGAACACTCGTCTGATTGCGTTTGGCATTTAGCCCCGATTTCCCCTCCATCTACCACACCCAGTGATGAGTTCTAGGTCCATTGCTGGGAGCAAAACCAGATGTGATCCTTGTTCTTGTGGACAGGGAGGGAAGCCTGCTAAGCAGATGACCACATAAAGCAGCGTGAACAGAATTCACACAATTGCTGCTACGAAATGGTGGCCTATACAGCTGTAAGAGCAGAGAAGGTGGAGAGGATGTTGGCATAGACTTGGGAAACATGGATGGGATTATTTCTTTCTTTTTCTCTGTAGATGAATGGACGTCCTTCGTGATTCACTGGAGTCGGCCGCTTCAAGGGGAGCATCCTCTTGGGTCCCCTAGGTGAGGCTTGGATGTCACAACTTGGAATGTGCCAGGTCACAGCAGAGCAGGCTGGGAAGGGTCAGGACATGACACTAACTGGATTCCCCAGGGGAGGGAAGGAGAGGGCAGGATGCACTTCCTCAGAGGAAGTTGGGGGTCTGTGGCACAGTGGCCATGGAGGGAGGACCTGTGGGAAGTGGGGAGAATCTGGCAGTGGCCGGCCTGAGTTCCAGGCAGGCAACAGTGTGCAGTTGGGCTAGGAGGTGAGGCCTCAGGTACTGGGAAGGCTCCAGGAGGCAGGCCTGGGTCACCAGCAGTGCAAATCCCGCAGTGCAGAGACCTGGATGCAGAACCCGCAGAAGGCCTCACCTGGTTCCCTTTGTTCCTTCCCAGAGCCTTCGTGCGCCACCATGGGAGTTCAGTAGAGAGTACACCCCCACCAGGGAGGCACACACAGCTGTTCAGGAGCCAATCAGCCACTGGTAAAGCATCCTGGAGGTTGGTGGGGGGAGTGGGCATGAAGAGGCCTGCAAGCAGAAGCCTTAGAGGGTCCCCCTACTCTTATCTGTCAATGCCTCCCACTCCCTGTTCCCTCTCCTCCCTCTGTCTGAGACCCTTGCCTGCAATGCCTGGGGTCAGACACACCCAGTAGGGGCAGCACCTTGGAAAGAGCCACACTGTTCTCCTCCTTCAACAAGCCAGTGATACCTCTATAATCATGAAGCCGGCCAGCATACCCTTAACGGTCATTCATCTGATGGCTCCCCACTTCCTTCCAAGTTGTGGGGGTTGCCAAATTTCAGGACACTCTGTCTTTTCTGAGGAAATCCTGTGTACCCAGTGCCATTCTGGGCTCCAGCATGACTACCCACAGAGCCCTCACTCCCTGCCCGCAGTATTGACCTCTAAGTCCAGGCAGCTCCAGGCCCTTTGCGCTGACCCTTTTTTTCTGGTCTGTTGCTTTAGAGGCCATTCAGAAACACCGCCGGAACCTGGCTGAGTGGTTTAGCCGGCTGCCCAGGGAGGAGCGTCAGTTCGGCCCATCCTTTGCACTGGACACGGTCCACGTTGACCCCGTGATCCGGGAGAGTACCCCTGATGAGCTCCTTCGCCCACCTGCAGAGCTGGCCTTGGAGCAGCAGCAGCCACTTGCACCTGGGCTGCCACCGCTGGCCCTGGCTCAGCTCTTCGACCCAGATGCCTGTGGACGGCAGGTGCAGACGGTGGTGCTGTATGGCACGGTGGGCACAGGCAAGAGCACCCTGGTACGCAAGATGGTCCTGGACTGGTGTTACGGGCGACTGCCGGCCTTTGAGCTGCTCATCCCCTTCTCCTGTGAGGACCTGTCGTCGCTGGGCTCTGCCCCAGCCTCCTTGTGCCAGCTAGTGGCCCAGCGCTACGCGCCCCTGAAGGAAGTTCTACCCCTGATGGCTGCAGCAGGGTCTCGCCTTCTGTTTGTGCTCCATGGCCTGGAACGTCTCAACCTTGACTTCCGGCTGGCGGACACAGGGCTCTGCAGTGATCCCCAGGCGCCGGGGGCACCAGCTGCCATCATCGTCAACCTGCTGCGCAAGTACATGCTCCCTGAGGTGGGTGGCCTCCTCCCTGCTCCCCTTCTTCATCATTTCTGTTTACCCTCTCTGGGTGGGGTGGAGGATGGGGAGAGGACTCAAGTGTGCGATGGTTAAAAAGAAAATCAGGCCTGGAGTTAGTTCAAATCCTGCCCCCTTTACTTCCCATCTGACCCTGAGCACATGGCTGCCTACTCCCTTTTCCCTTGAGTTGCCCCAGTTAAATGAGCATGTAACATACCCTGGATCAGAGTGGGGGTTCCGTGTCAGCAGTGATTGTTGTCATCCTCTGGACACTTCATCTTGAGGGGTCCCCTGGGGACAAAGGCAATCAGGACGCTAGGATTTCTCTTAGCCATCACGTGTCCTTCTCAGGCCAGCATCCTGGTGACCACGCGGCCCTCGGCTGTTGGCCGCATCCCCAGCAAGTACGTGGGCCGCTATGGTGAGATCTGTGGCTTTTCTGATACCAACCTGCAGAAGCTCTACTTCCAGCTCCGCCTCAACCAGCCCGACTGTGGGCAGGGTGCCGGGGGTGCCGGTGTTTCCACCACACCCGCTCAGCGGGACAACCTGGTACAGATGCTCTCTCGGAACCTGGAGGGACACCACCAGATCGCTGCTGCCTGCTTCCTGCCCTCCTATTGCTGGCTCGTCTGTGCTACCTTACACTTCCTGCATGCCCCTACACCTGCTGGCCAGACCCTCACCAGCATCTACACCAGCTTCTTGCGTCTTAACTTCAGCGGGGAGACGCTGGACAGCACTGACCCCTCCAATTTGTCGCTAATGGCCTATGCCGCCCGGACCATGGGCAAACTAGCCTATGAGGGGGTGTCCTCTCGCAAGACTTACTTCTCGGAGGAGGATGTCCAAGGCTGCCTGGAGGCTGGCATTCGAACAGAAGAGGAATTTCAGCAGCTCCACGTCTTCCGCCGGGATGCCCTGAGGTTTTTCCTGGCCCCGTGCGTGGAGCCAGGGCACCTGGGCTCCTTTGTGTTCACTGTGCCCGCCATGCAGGAATACCTGGCTGCCCTCTACATCGTGCTGGGTCTGCACAAGACCACCCTGCAGCGGGTGGGCAAGGAAGTGGCTGAGATGGTGGGCCGCGTTGGGGAAGACGTCAGCCTGGTCCTGGGCATCGTGACCAAGCTGCTGCCTCTGCGGATTCTGCCTGTGCTCTTCAACTTACTCAAGGTAACAGTCCCGGGGACCCCGGCCCTAGCTGCTCCCCCTGTCTGGGATCCTGGGCTGCTGCCTGCCCAGTTGTCCCTTCCTCAGAAGGTAACTGCTATTTATTAATTTTTTAAGATTTATTTATTTGAAAGGTAGATTTACAGAGAGAGGGATATCCCATCCTCTGGTTCCCTCCCCAAATGGCTGCAATGGCTGGAGCTGAAGCATCTGGAGCCTTGAGCCAGGAACTTCTTCCAGGTCTGTCATGGGAGTGCAGGGGCTCAAACACTCAGGCTATCTCTGCTGCCTTCTCAGGCCATAAGCAGGGAGTTGGATAGGAAGTAGAGCAGCCAGGACACAAACTGATGTCCATATGAGATTTTGGCACTGCAAGACAGAGGATTAGTCTGTGAGCCACTGCATCATCTCCCAAACTGCACTTCCTGCAGAGGAGTAAATGTTGCCCTTGGCTGTGGTTTCAGCTCAGGGCTATTTGGTTTGTAGTACACTTGCAGCATAAGGAATGGGGAGAGAGAAGCCCCAAGGCTGCAGAAGCTTTGGAAGCCAGGACAGGAAACTGAGGGCACAGGAACCTTCATCAGACTCCCAACCATGATCACCCTTGTGCATCTCTCCTTCTGGTCTCCGCTGCCGGGAACAGGGGTCATCATAGTCCAGGGTCTGTCTTCTGTTCCACACATCCAGAAACTCGATCATATCTGTCCCTGCGGAGGCTGTTAGACTCCGTGCACAGTGACTCATCCTGACAAGGTCTCCTGGGACAGGCTTTTAAAGCGGAGGCTGTTTGATTCATTTATCTGGGGAGGAAGGATGGCATTGCAATTGGCTTAGGCCAGTCCCTCCTGGGGTGCAGGGCTGCTGCAGGCCCAGGGACCGTGCTGGGGGCTGTGCGAATGTGCTGGGGACAGAGGAGCCACTCTTTTGCTGATGTCTTCCAGATGCTTTATCAGAGTTCTTCCTTTTTTTTTTTTTGTTTTTGCTTTGTTTTGCACATCAACCCGGGGCAGGAAATACTATTATGACCCTCTAAGGATGGGGAAAGAAAGGGTGGGGTCAATTGTGAAAGCTCTTGCAGCTGGTCAGTGGCACAGCTAGGGGAGAAGCCAAGGCTTGCGGGGTTCTGAATCCTGTGCTCTTTCCACCCAACTGGGCTGAGCTAGGAGTGGTGCTTCTGCCAAGTTGTAGGGCCTTGCCAGGTGACTCTGCCTTTATTTAGGAATGCCCCAACACAGTAGGTCTTGAGGAAACAGAAAGCTGGTTTGTATGGGCAGAATTCTAGCAAGTCTCCCCTTTCTTATAGGCACCCTATATAATGTGAACAGAGACTAAGTCACTCAGCCACCTGCGTTCAAACGCAGGCTGCATCACTACTTCACTGAGTGACCCTTGGATAGGTTGCTTAATCTATCTGTGCCTGTTTGTTACATAGTGCTAAGAATAGAACTTATAGGGCCCAGCGTGATAGCATAATGCTTAAAGTCCTCGCCTTGTATGTGCCAGGATCCCATATGGTCACTGGTTCTAATCCCAGCGGTCCTGCTTCCCATCCTGCTTGTGGCCTGGGAAAGCAGTTGATGACTGCCCAAAGCCTTGGGACCCTGCAGCCATGTGGAAGACCCGGAAGAGCTTCCTGGGTTTGGATTGGCTCAGTTCCAACTGTTGCAGTCACTTGGGGAGTGAATCATCAGGCGGAAGATCTTCCTCTCTGTCTCTCCTCCTCTCTGTATATCCGCCTTTCCAATAAAAATAAATAAATCTTTTTTTAAAAAGAAAAGAATAGAACTTACATCATTGGCCTAAGGCGAGGATGGAATGAATGAATTATCCAGAGCCTGATACACAGGAAGTATGATTTCATTGTCAACTACACACTCAACCAGGCTCAGGCAATCCAGTCGTTCTTGCCCCATAGCCTCTCCTAGGGTCACAATGCCTGCTGAGGCCGCTCCTCCACACCCCCGACTCTGAGGGTATGATGGCTGGATTGAAGTGAGAGGCCAGAGATTCCTGATGGATTCATAAAGTTCCCACCACAAGAGTGGGCTGCCCCAAGTGCTGTTCCCATCTGCTGCTCATGGTCTTGATGGGGGCTTCATAGTGGGACATTCACCCAGTTTTGCAGCCAAATTTAGGATGTTGTAGGAGGGACATTCTCCCCTCCATGGCAGCAGCCTGGCCCAGAAAAAGCATTAAAAGCCTTGATGGGGCTGACTTTGTGGCTCAATGGGCTAATCCTTCACCTTCAAGCACCAGCATCCTATGTGGGTACTAGTTTGTGTCCCAGCTACTCCACTTCCCATCCAACTCCCTGCTTGTGGCCTGGGAAAGCAGCAGAGGATGGCCCAAGTCCTTGGGTCCGTGTACCAAGTGAAAGACCCAGGAGAGGTTCCTGGCTCGTGACTTAGGATTGGCTCAGCCCTGGCCATTGCAGCCATTTTGGGAGTGAAACAGTGGATGAAAGATCTCTCTCTCTCTTTCTCTTCTCCTCTCTATAAATCTGCCTTTCAAATAAAAATAGATTTTTTTTTTTTTAAAAAGGAGAAGGTCTACATGCATTTACCAGCGCAGTGGAGCCTTGTGAAGATATCACAGGGCTGCCCAGCGCTTCATGGCTTCGCCAGATATTTGGGTGCATGCTGTGTGCCAGGCAATGTGTTGGACTCTGAGGAAGAATAGGGACAAAGAAGGGATTAACCAGGAGAATAACTAAGGTCAGAGGGAGAAAGGCATGGTCCCAGTTCAGGACATAGTGAGTGGGGCAAGTGGCTTGGGCAGAAGGCATTGTTGTTGGCAGGCACCACATCATACAGGCCCTTAAAGCAGCAGGGGCTGCCTCAGTCGTGGTTGCCACAATGGCACCTGCCTGGGCCCAGGCTTAATGCACAATCCTTCACTGATACCTTGCTGCTGCCACCTGAGCTGAAAGATGCAGAAGATGTTGGGGAAAAAGAGAGCAGTTGCCCCTGTGTGGCATGCAAAAGAGAATAATAATTGAGGGGGACTCTTCCCTCCTCCTGCACCCAGGAAGGTCACATTGGAGCCAGATTCTAGAGAATTTCCAACCGCAGTTTGCCTGTGTATGGCATGCTGCCTCCTATCACACAGGCCAGGCTATGGATTCCAGGGCAGGCTAGGGCTGAGTAGGTAGTGGCTGTAGTCAGGCTGAGCCTCAGAGGCTGTGTGGGCCCATGGTGGGCTGCAGGGACTCTCCTCTACTTGCTTCCTACCCAGGTGGTCCCACGAGTGTTTGGGCGCGTGGCAGGAAAGAGTCGGGAGGCGGTAGCCCAGGCCATGGTGCTGGAGATGTTCCGGGAGGAGGACTACTACAATGACGACGTCCTGGACCAGATGGGTGCCAGCATTCTGGGTGTGGAGGGGCCTCGGCGCCACCCGGATGAGCCACCCGATGATGAAGTCTTTGAACTCTTCCCCATGTTCATGGGGGGGCTGTTATCTGCTCATAACCGGGCTGTGCTGGCTCAGCTGGGCTGCCCCATCAAGACCATGGATGCCCTGGAGAACGCCCAGGCCATCAAGAAGAAGCTGGGCAAACTGGGCCGGCAGTTGCTACCCCCCTCGGAGCTCCTGGACCACCTCTTCTTCCACTATGAGTTCCAGAACCAGCGCTTCTCTGCTGAGGTGCTCAGCTCCCTACGTCAGCTCAACCTGGCTGGTGTGCGCATGACACCCCTCAAATGCACTGTGGTGGCAGCCGTCCTGGGCAGCAGAAAACACTCCTTGGATGAGGTGAACTTGGCCTCCTGCCAGCTGGACCCTGCTGGGCTGCGCACACTCACACCTGTCCTGTTGTGTGCCCGAAAGTTGGGGTGAGGATCTGTTCATTCCATGCATAGGTGTGGAGAGAGGAGAGAGCTGGAGGCGGAAGGAGTGGGAAGAGAAGGTGCTAGGGAAAGCCAAGGCCCTGAGAAAGGATCAGCAGGTGTCAGCCTATCTGCTCTTGCTGAAACAAAATACCTGAGATTGGGTACTTGATAAAGAAAAATAGTTCACTTCACTCCTGGTGCAAAGTTCTATTAATAGGTGATCCTTGCTTTGGTCTCTGGTGAGGACCCCTTTGACTGCATCATAGATGGTAGGGGGAACAGAATGGGAGACAGTTCTGAGTATTGGAGGCCACATGTTTGGGATGGCCTTGCTTTATGACAGTCTGCTGCCAGGAGAGCTAAACTCATTCTTGGAGACCAGCATTAATATCCTCTGAGGGGACCTACTCACCTTGGAGCAGATCCCACCTCTAAGGTGAATGAGGAGACAGGACAGGCATAGGTTAGAGAAGGCAGGCTGGCAAGAAAGGACTTGGCAAACAGGCAAGCTTCTTGCTGAACTTCTTCCTCATTTTCTCATCTTCCCCCAAACTTCCCTTCCCCTGGCTATCTTCTCCAGCTTGCAACTCAACAGCCTGGGCCCTGAGGCCTGCAGGGACCTCCGAGACTTGCTGCTGCATGACCAGTGCCAAATCACCACCCTGCGGTGAGTGCCCTTAGAGAGGCCCAGAGGCAACCAAGGACAAGGGTGAACTCCCTGGCTCACCATGTACCTGTCACAAGCCCATGGCATCATATAGTGGGTACCAATGGAGGCTTTGTCTTGCTTGCTGGCCCCTAGTCCATTACAAGCAGCAGTGCAGGGGGAAAGATGCCACTGGTAACAGGTGCTGAGAAAGCCTCAGGAGGTCAGGTGAAAGGGTGAGTGATGTTATGTCCCGTTGCCTGGTGAGACAAACCACCCCCCCCCAGTCGGGATTTTTCCCACAGCCTCCCAGACACCAGCTCTCCAGAGATGTTCCCCACATGCTGGCTGATGTACCAGGAACCCAACGCCTGGGCTCCTAGTTTGTGATTGAAGTAAAGGCAGGCAGTTCAGGATGGAGAAGGAAGGGAGAGAAGGAAGGGGCGGCCAGGGGGGAGGAGGAGCAGAGACTGGGAACAGGGTTAAAAGCACAATGGGGCAGGCATTTGAGCAGTTGTTAAGACACCCACTTCCTACATTGGAGTAGCTGGGCTTTGCTCCTGGCTCTGGCCCCTGACTAATACAGACCCCGGGAGGTGGCAGACAATGGCTCAGGTGCTTGGGTTCCTGTTTTCCATATGGGAGACCTGGATTGATTTCCTTGCCTGACCCAGCCCTAACTGTTGTGGGCATCTGGGGACTGAACCAACAGATGGGATACTGCTCTGTCTTTCTTTTCCATGCCTCTTTTCTCCTCCTCCCTCTCCTGTTTCTTCCCCTCCCCCTTCTTCTTTTTAATAAAGAAGAGAAATAGTAATGATGAGGAAGGAGAGAGGGTGAAGGAGAGGACAGAAGTCAGCTTTCCTCCACACTCTCCCTCCTCTGCTGGGTACTGCGTGCCTGCTTCTTTCCCCCTCCTTCCTCCTGGGCCTGCATTTCTGTGTCCCTGCTCCTCTGCCCCATGCTCTGCCCCACTCTGGCCAAGTCCTAAAGGCTAGGCCACCTGCAATGGGCCCTCCTAACATTGGGTTGCTTGTGGTCATAGGCTGTCCAACAACCCGCTGACGGCAGCAGGTGTCGCCCTGCTCATGGAGGGGCTGGCAGGAAACACCTCACTCACGCATCTGTCCCTGCTGCACACTGGCCTTGGGGATGAGGGCCTGGAGCTGCTGGCCGCACAGCTGGACAGCAACCGGCAGCTGCGGGAGCTGAACGTAGCCTACAATGGTGCTGGCGACACCGCAGCCCTGGCCCTGGCCAAGGCTGCCCGGAAGCACCCATCCCTGGAGCTGTTACAGTGAGTCCTATCCCGGGTCCCCCTTGTCCTTTCTCTCTGGGGTTCTTCCTGTCCAGGGCCTGGGCCTGGTGCCTCTTCTCTCTTCTGATTGGCCCTTGCCCTCCAATCCATCTGCTCTGAAACTAGACCTGCTCTTGCCCTGATGTTCTACCACCCTTTATCCTCTGAATCTCCACATCATTGCCTGCATCCCACTGGTGACCGCCTACCTCTTGTGGGTGTGAGTTATGGAGCCTCCTGATCATACCCCGTCTGCCCCTGGGGCCTTCCTTCTCCGAGCCCCACTAACTAGCACCTGCTCTTCTCCTTCCTGCCAGCCTCTACTTCAACGAGCTGAGTTCAGAGGGACGCCAGGTCCTGAGAGACTTGGGGGCTGCTGCTGAAGGCGGTGCCCAGGTGGTGGTTTCGCTGACGGAGGGAACAGCAGTGTCCCAGTACTGGTCCATGATCCTTGGGGAAGTCCAGCGGAACCTTCACAGCTGGGACCGGGCCCGGGTGCGACGCCACCTTGAGCTGCTACTCCGGGATCTGGAAGACAGCCGCGGAGCCACCCTGAATCTCTGGTACAAGGCCCAGCTGCTGCGAGTGGAGGGCGAAGTCAAAGCCTTGCTTGAGCAGCTGGGAACCACTGGAAGCTGAGCTCCAAGGCCAGCGAGCTCCCAGCTGGTGACCCCTGGCCCCAATTCTTCCTTCTGTGGCCTCCTGTCTTGCATTTTCCCTTCTAGAAAGATCCCTTTGAGGCTAGAAGCATAGCCAGCTGCCCTCTTGGGAGCTGGCCAAGCAGTGGTCCCAAGTCCAAATTTCCAAGGTCAAAAATGGCCACTCGATGCCCTAGGTTGCAGCTGGATATGCCACTTCCCTCTTTGGCCTGGAAGACTGCATGAAGGGGTATTTGGGTGCTCAGACTACTCTCAGGCACTCTCCCCAAGCTTGTCATCTCTCCCTCCTATCTGGGAGCCTCTGATTGGGCCTCCCAGGAGAACACTTCCTACGTCTGCCATGCCAGGGGTACTGCCATTCAGCAGATGTCTTGGAAGGGCCTGCCCCTGCCTCACACCCCTCTGTGGACACTGGTGATGCCCTCACACTGGTGCTTCCCCTCTACCCTCATGCTCCCTTTACCCACAGTGGTACTGATGACCCCCGGGGTAGGTGCAATCAGCTTATTGCTATTAAACAGTTACGTGTCTTCCACCTGTTGTGCCTTCTCTCCCTTGGCCAGGACTTCCAACAAAGGGCATTGTGTTTGGTCGTTCTGATTAAACTGGCCACTTTCTGCTGTAAGATGTTCCTGGACAATGAGGCCAGAGGCAGTGGGGGCTAGAAGGGCCCATGAATAAGATTTTGGGGTTGGGAATGGGTAATGCTATCATCCTTTCCATTTATTTATTTATTTATTTTTCTTTGAAAGAGTTATAGAGAAAGAGGGAAAAATAGAGAGATCTTCCATTTGCTAGTTCACTTTCCAGATGACCACAACACTGGAGCCAATCAGGCTGAAGTCAGGAGCTTAAAGCTTCATTTGATTCTCCCACATGGGTGCAGAATCCCCAGCATTTGGACCCTCTTCCGTTGCTTTCCTAGGTGCATTAGCAGGGAGCTCGATGGGGTTGCCTTTATGCCACCAGCATCCTTTTCATGTTTAGCCCTTGGCTGAATCATAGTGACTAGTGCCTTCCTCTCCCAGAGGAGTGACTAGAGCAGCAGCAGGGCTCTGGAGAAAGTTGGAGTACAGCAGCAGCAGCAAGAGAAGCAGAACACTTCCCCAGGGAATAAGGTTCTTTCATCCCGTTAACCATTACCCCGCTGCTTCTGCTTCGCAGGCAGCGTCTTCAAGGAGGCGGGACTTGGGAGGGGGTAGATGGGAGGGTCAGCGCATGCCGCATGCCGATGGACCTTGTCCCTGCTCTGAACACTTAGGTGACTGGTCCAAACATGAAGGCAGCTGCAGGTAGGCGCCCAGGAGGACTCCTGTGGAGGGGACTGTGAGGCAATCGGGGTGGGGTGGCGGGTGCAGGGCAGACTTGGAGGTTACAGTTTGGGGATCAGGGCACCCTTGCTGTTAGAACTTCAAGTCTTACAGCAAAGAGAAGTGAGGGGAAAAGAAGGGAGGTGACACAGCTGTCTTCCCGGTCCACACCCTGTCCTGATAATGCTCAGATTGACATTCCAAGGCTGTGGGAGGAGGGGAGTGGGAGGAGGGTGGGGGCGTCACAAGGCCCTTGTGTGTGTGTGACTTCAGAGAGAAGGAAGTCCTTTTGCAAAGGAAAAAAGGGGACAGGTCCTGAGTTTGGGGCTTCCCCTAAGTTCGTTCAGTTCAGGACCACAGCCAAGGCATTGGGGTTGGGGGGGAATTGCTCCCCTTCTCACCCACTTCCTTGCCCAGCAGATCTTCAGGATCCAGCAACCCTGTAAGTTATGCCAGGGTTGGGACAATGGGAGGAAGGACGGAAGGCAGGGAGGCCCTGCTGTTGCCCTTGGCACCCGAGTATAGCACCAGCTTCTACTACCTGTGTCCCTGCTTCCTTGCAGGAAGTTTCAGTTTAATCCAAAGTTGGGCATCGATAATCCTGTCCTCTCCCTGGCTGAAGACCACGACCCCTCTGGTAACCCCCTCCTTCCCCTGCTCAGTGCTGTCTCCACCCCAGACACCCATCCCCCTTTCCTGGAGACAGCTCTTCATAGCCTCTCATCTCCTTGGTAACCACTGCCACCTCTAGGGCTAATAGCCACCTTTGGCAGTAACCAGGTGGAGGCAGGATGAGGCAGGGGTCTCCTTGGCCAACACTTAACTGACTGGGAGCCCATCCTGTGCTCCATCAGGAGGCAGGGCTGCCAGGCACACCATGGTGGACCTGTACATGAGCTCCCTCCCTTCCCACTTTTCTGCTACCCTCTCCTAACCTCTCCCTCTTCCAGATCCCTGGAGCCTAGAACGGCCCCGCTTCTGCCTGCTGAGCAGAGAGGAGGGCGGGAGTTTTGGTTTCCACCTGCAGCAGGAGCCCGACAAGTCTGGGCATGTGGTGCGCAGGGTGGATCCAGGCAGCTCTGCCCAGCACCAGGGTCTCCGGGAGGGGGACCGGATTCTGGCAGTGAATGACAATGTTGTAGAACATGAAGAGTATGCAAAGGTGAGGCTGGCTGGCACCCCATGGGCACTACAGCTGCACCCCGGGATTTAGGAGGACCCATGTGGGAGGCATCTAGAGAGCTGGTTCCCTTGGTGGAACACGCAGGTTACTGGGGTTGGGCACGTGCCAGGGAGCCCAAACTTTGTCCACATACCCTCTGTGTAGGTGGTGCGCTACATCCGGGCCAGCGGCCCTCGGGTGCTGCTTACAGTTGTAGCAAGACACGTGCATGACGTAGCCCGAGCACTGCATGGAGATGATGCCCACCTCTGTCCTGCCCTTGGCCCTGGGATTCGGCCGCGGCTGTGCCACATAGTGAAAGATGAGGGTGGCTTTGGTTTCAGTGTAACCCATGGTGAGCTGAGTGGCTGGGACGGGGAGAAATGTGAGGGGTAATCTCATCTCCTCTTGTAATTGCCTGAGACTGGCTTGTTTCTGCTCTGCTCCCAGGCCATCGTGGCTCTTTCTGGCTGGTGTTGTGTGCTGGAGGAGCAGCTGAGCGCGCAGGGGTGCCTCCTGGGGCCAGGCTGCTGGAAGTAAATGGGGTCAGTGTAGAGAAGTTCACCTACAACCAGCTTGGCAAGAAGGTATGGCTGCCTAGCTGCTGCCCCTTGCCCTCTAGCACCTCCTGAAGCAGGCTCCTCCCCTGTGCACTGAATCTTCTGATCTGACCTCTCATGACCATCCTGCCCTCCCCTTAGTGCCTGGAAGAGGGTGCTGGGAGGAGCTTGCCTCCCACTCTTCCTACCCAGATAGTTGATGCTGATGTCCTCCTGGGTCTCTGCAGCTTTGGCAGAGTGGAGAGCAGGTGACCCTGCTAGTGGCTGGGCCAGAAGTGGAGGAGAAGTGTTGTCAGCTAGGAATGCCCCTGGCTGCACCCCTGGCAGAGGGCTGGGCACTGCCTGCCAGGCCTCGCTGTTTGCATCTCGAGAAAGGGCCTCAGGGCTTCGGATTCCTGCTCCGGGAGGAGCGGGACTTCAACGGTCATCTTGGTGAGGAGGAGTCCTTGGGGAGTAGGAAGGGGGTGAGCCTGGGGTGGCCACACAACTGTACATTCCTGCCTCTCCATGCAGGTGTAAACAGTGTGTGGGCCTAAGCCCCAGCCTTGGGCCTCCTCCCTGGGGTCTCCTGTAGTGGGTCTCCCAGGTGTACACTGAGGGCAATGTGGGGGGAGCAGTGAGAATATCTCTGTCCCAGGACAGTTCCTGTGGGAGGTGGACCCAGGCCTGCCAGCCGAGAAGGCTGGGATGCGAGCTGGGGACCGGCTGGTGGCTGTGGCCGGGGAGAGCGTGGAGGGGCTGTGCCATGAGGAGACGGTGTCCAGGATTCGGGCACAGGGGACTTGTGTCTCTCTTGTCGTTGTCGACCGTGAAGCTGACTCATTCTTCAAAATGGTGCGTATGCTCAGGACTGGGACTGGGGTGGGGAAAGCAATGGAGCCAAACTCGGGTGCCACAGGTATGCTCGCTCTGGTCCTCCAGGTGCGCCTCTCCCCACTCCTCTTCTTGGAGAGCACAGGAGCTGTCACCTCACCCCCAAATGCCCACGTGGCTGTGCCAATTGAGTCCTTGAATGCACAGTCGGAAGATACAGCTGAGCCTCGGCTCCCTCTGGGCTCTTGCCAATGTTCCCTGTATCCTGGGCCTGGAGGTGGCTATGGCTTCCGACTCTGCTTAGTGGCCAGTGGGCCTTTTCTCATCATCTCCCAGGCGAGTGAAGCCCTCCGGATCCTGGATCTGTTCTGCCACTTTCTTCTCGATCTGTATTCGTCTACCTCCCTCTCAGAACCACAGAGCACCCAACAAACTTCTCCGTGGCTCTCCCTGATCTGGGTCCCTCTGCCGCCCCAGCAGGTGACTCCAGGAGGCTCAGCTGCCCGCGCAGGACTGCAAAGGGGAGACCTGGTTCTGGAAGTGAATGGGGAATCTGTGGGTGGAGATGGCGCTCAGGAAAGGCTTCAGCGGCTGGCAGAGGCCAAGCCACCCCTCTCCCTGAAGCTGTGGAGGGGCTTGGAGGCCTGGGTTCCCCCAGGGTCTGGAGAGGTAAGGAGGAAGGGACAGGTGAGCCTGGAAGCTGCTGCAGGTCAAGGGCAGAGGGGAGCCAGAAAAGGGCAGAGTTGGGGAGGGCTGCAGGGTGAGACTTCAAGTCATGAGGGAGGACAGGAGGCTCCAAGAGACAAGTGCCCTTTCTGGTTATCCCAGGGTGGATCAGGGAAAAGAAATGTTTAGTGTTTTGGAACGACCCCTGTTCCCAACTCTCTCGGCACAGGACTGCACTTCCTCCTCAGATCAGCTATAGAGTGCCCCAACTTGGTGAGATCTACCAAGGCCTCTGCTGCCTTCACGCTTGGCCCAAGGTGGTGGGCAGGGATGCTGTCACTCAGCCGGAAGCTGGGGCTGGAAGACTTGGATGTCGCCCATCACAGTGGTCCTAGAAGGCCCCTTGTTTCCCATAGGCCCAGCTCCCAGCAGCGGGTGTGGGTTAGAGACCTAGGGGCCCCAAGAAGGAGCCTCCAGCTCCAGAGGCTCTTAAGTCAGCTATAGTTGGCTGTACCCCAGGAATAAATGTTTGCCCAGGGGGCGCTGTGGGGCAGGCTAGAAGGGAAGCCATCTGGAACCTGACCCTTCATAGGACTCCAGGATCCCAGGGTCCAAGAATTTGGAACTCTAGCAGCCCTTTCCTCTGTGGGCCATCTTGGGACTGTGCGGGGCTGGTCCCTGGGCCTGGTTGTGTCTGTGATTGAAATGGCCTTCCCCCTACACATCTGGCTGTTTGTGTTTTTTGTTGGTAGAGGTAAGGAGCACTGGTTTTGAGGGACCCAAGGGCCCTAAACTCAGGGGGATTGGGCCCAGGTTCTGCAGGAGAGGGGTTGAGATTTTGCCAATATTCTTTTCTGTGGCTCTGTGTGGGGCATAATGGTGGGGCCCAGAATGGAGATGTCCCCACCAAAGCCACTCCTCCCAGACAAAAAGGCCACAGCACACAGCTCAGTGGAGTTCTGATTTCTGGGCCTCAGAGAGGCCCAGAGGCCAGGGACTGGCAGATTCAGAGATCCAGGGGGTTGAGTCCAAACTGGCGCAGCTGCTCCTTGTGCCTGGCGTGGAGTCTCAGCGCAGCTGTGTCCCACTGAGGTTGGGCAGCTCTCAGCTTGGCCACGAGCCGGTCCAGGGTGCCCTGCAGATACCATACTTTGAGGCCAGAGCAGGGGGGTCTCTTGAGTCCCTTTCTTCTCTTGTCTATCAAATGTTAGTCATCACACTAGTTGGGGACTTGCGGGAATGGAGGGGCACTGGCTACTGGGCTCCCAAGAGTGATGCTTACATGTAAGATATCCTCGTATTTGGCCTCCATGTCGGCCACATGGGCCCGAAGCCGAGCCAAGGTGTGATCTCGCTCGCTGAGGGCCCGTGCAGCCTCTTCCTGGGCAGCCTCGGCCTCCTTCTGGCATGTCTCTGTGGGGACAGAGCAGAAGAATGCAAAAGGACAGGAAGGTGATACTTTGGCCTTGAACAGACTCCAAAGTTAGTGAACAAGTGAGTTAATTTGAGAGTCCCCCAAGGTCAGCAGTGCCTGCAAAGAGCTGGCAATCCACTGAGGTATGTGAGGTGTGGCCTTGGGAGAGGAGCTGGGTGCAAAGTCTCATTGCCATTTACTGCCTGTGTAAGGACCCACATGTCTCCCAAAACCTGCTTCTTCATTTGAGAGACATGTGCATGCACACAGATACACACACATAGATCATGGCTGCAGCTGGAGATGGGAGGCAGGGACTCAGTCTCCTACATGGGTGGCAGGAATCCAGCTGCTTGAGCAATCAGCTGCTGCAGAAGTCACCATAACAGGAATGAGCTGTGACTCAAACAGTGCTCTGAAACTTGATGTGGGCCACCCCCCAACCAGCATCTTAACTGCTATACCAAGCATCTATCCCAGTTTCTTCATCACAAAAGACAAATAAGGGGCCAGAGTCATGGTGTGCTTAGTTAAGCCACCACTGTGACACTGGCATCACATATCAGGGTGTTAGTTCGAGTCTCAGCTGTTTTACTTTCCTTTTTTTTTTTTAAAAATTTTTATTTATTTTTATTTGACACGCAGATTTATAGAGAAAAGGGAGAGACACAAAAGAGAGCCATACAATGCCTGGAACTGACCAGAAGCCAGGAACCAGGAGCTTCTTTCTGGTCTCCCACATGGGTACAGGGTCCCAAGGCTTTGGGCCATCCTCTACTGCTTTCCCAGGCCACAAGCAGGGAACTGGATGCGAAGTGGAGCAGTGGGGACATGAACTCATGCCCATATGGAGTCCCAGACTTGGATCATCCTCCTCTTCTTTCCCAGGCCATAAGCAGAGCAGGACGGGAAGTGGAGCAGCTGGGATATGAACAGGCACCCAAATAAGGAAGTCAGCCCTGTCCTATTTCTGATCTAGCTCCTTGCTATTGTATCTAGGAAGGCAGGAAAAGATGGCCCAGGAGCTTGGGCTCTTGTTATCCAAGTGAGAAGCTCAGACAGAGTACCTGGCTCTTGGCTTCAGCCTGTCTCAACCCTGGCTCCTCTGGCCTATTGGGAAGTGACCCAAAGCGCTTTCTCTGTCTCGATTCTGCCTAAAGTAAATACTTTTTTAAAAAGGTCAAATGATGCATACTTCACAGGCCATTCAATGTATTAAGGGACAGCAAAGCATCTAGTATATGGGAGGTGCCCGGGGAATGCTGATTGATTTCAAGAGGAATCCAGGGTGCGCGCAGAAGATAAGAGGCTCTGAATATCTGTAGCTAAGTTGAAGATATTTTAGGATAAGGTATCTTTGAGGCCTACATTGTGAAAGAGGTAATGCCCTGCTATATTTCACCTTTGTCCCTTAAGCAAAGGCAAGAGAAGCAAAGGCTTCTGGTTTTTATGTTTTTGCTTGTTTAGAGGGTTTATTCATTTGTTTACTTAATGGTCAAGCTCTACCAGGTGGTTGCACTTAAAGATAGAGAAGTTAAGACATCTGATACTTTGCCTTAGTTTTACTGTAATAATCAGCTAACCTTGAGAAGGAAGATGAAGGATATTTTAGAAGGTTCTTAGGATAGTTGAATTACATGATAAATTTGGTTCAGCACTGTGGCATGGTGAGCTAAGCCACCATTTGTAATGCCCACATCCCATATGGGAGCACTGATTCAAGTCCCAGTTCCTCCACCTCCAGTTCAACTTCCTGCTAATGTGCCTGGGAAGGTACTAGAAGATGGCCCATATACTCGGGTCCCTGCCATACATGTGGGAGACTCAGAGTCACTGGCTCCGGCTGTTGGCCTAGCCCCGGTGTGGTTGTCGCAATCATTTAGGCAGTGAAGCCAAAGATACAAGATCCCTTGCCTCTATCTCTTGTCACCCTGACTTTCAAATAACTAAATCTTGAGAAAATAATTTATTTTAGTGTAAAAAAAAAGTTGAAATTCATACATACGTGGAGTTTTCAGAGCATTCAAGAAGGGGCAAATGTTTGGCTCCCACCTCCCTCACAAGAACTTGGGCTCAATGCCCTGCTCTGCTCTGACGCCAACTTCCTCTAACACAGACCTAAGAAGGCAGTGGTGGAGGCTTAAGGAATCAGGTTTTGGCCATTCCTGGGGAGACTTGGACTGAGTGCCTACCTCATGGCTTTGGCCTTGTCCAACTCTAGTTGGTGTGGGCACTTGAAATAAATCAGCAGATAGGAGTCCTCTCTAAGTTTGTCTTTATGCCTCTCAAAACAACAAATAATTCATGAAAAATGCACATTAGGAAAAAGCCCAGGTATGGGGGAATAGGGAGAAGTAGTGTTGTGGTGGAGTGGGTGAGTGGGTTTTTTTTTTTTCAGATTTTTTTTTTTTAATTGGAAAGTCATATACAGAGAGGAGGAGAGACAGAGAGGAAGATCTTCAGTCCGATGATTCACTCTCCAAGTGGCTGCAATGGCTGGTGCTGGGCCAATCTGAAGCCAGGAGCCAGGAACCTCCTCCAGGTCCCCCAACACAGGTGCAGGGTCCCAAAGCTTTGGGCCATCCTTGACTACCCTCCAGGGCCACAAGCAGGGAGCTGGATAGGAAGTAGGCTGCTAGGACCAGAACCAGTGCCCACATGGGATCCTAGTGTGTGCAAGAAGAGGACTCCAGCTGCTAGGCCACCTCGCCGGGCCTGTGGTGGAGTGTTTAAGCCACCACTTGCAATGCCAGCATCTCACATATATGCTGGTTTGTGTTCCAGCTGCTTCAGTAATGATCCAGCTCCCTGCTAATGCATCTGAAAAAGCAGGTGGTAATACTCCTGCCACCTGCATGGAAAACCCAGATGAAATTATAGGCTCTTAGCTTTGGCCTGGCCCAGGCCTGATGTTGCAGTCATTTGGGGAGTGAGATGGCAGACAAAAGATCCCTGTGTTTCTCCTCTTTCTGTAATCCTATCTTTCAAATAAATAAAGACATCTTTTCCAAAATAAAACACAGAAACAAACAAAAATCTCTAAAGGGGTTTCAAATCTTCTCGTATCCAAATAAGCTTATATTTCCATGCCATTGTTCCTTGAGTATTTTGATGCACCCTGATAGCCCAGGAGAGACGTGGTAGTGCCAGGGAGGGAGGCAGCGTCTGGATGTGGGGGGACCAGGGAAGAGGGAACACGGTGAAGTGCACCTCTTCTTTGCTTCTACCTTAAAGGCTCTTGCCATGCTGGCCTCTCTACCCTATGCTCTGTTGAGGTGGGGGAGGGGAAGGTGATTGGAAAGCCCAAATTATAGCTGCTTTCTTCTTTTTAAAGATTGATTAATTTGGGGCCTGGTGGTGTGGCCTAGTGGCTAAAGTCCTCACCTTGAACCGGCCAGGATCCCATATGGGCGCCGGTTCTAATCCCGGCAGCTCCACTTCCCATCCAGCTCCCTGCTTGTGGCCTGGGAAAGTAGTCAAGGATGGCCCAAAATTTTGGGACCCTGCACCCGCGTGGGAGACCTGGAAGAAGTTCCTGGAACCGGGCTTCGGATTGGCACAGCACCGGCCGTGGTGGTCACTTGGGGAGTGAATCATCGGAACGGAGGATCTTCCTCTCTGTCTCTCCTCTTCTCTGTATATCTAACTTTGTAATAAACATAAATAAATCTAAAAAAAAAAAGATTTATTTATTTTTCCTGGAAAGACAGATTTACAGAAGGAAAAAGAGACAGAGAGAAAGCTCTTCCATCCTCTGATTCACTCCCCAAGTGGCCACAATGAGTAGAACTGAGCCAATCTGAAGCTCCATACTGTAGCCTTCTAGAAAAAGACCCTCTAGTTCTCTGCTTGAGCCTGGGAAAGCTGTAAAAGATGAATTGGCCCAAGTCCTTTGGACCCTGCATCCACATGGGATATCAGGAAGAATCTCTTGGCTCTTGGCTTCAGATTGGCTTGGCTCTGGCCGTTGTGGCCATTTGGGAAGTGAACCAGTGTATGGAAGAGCTTTCTCTCTCTGTCTCTTCTTTGTAAATTTTCCGTTTTCTAATAAAAAAATAAATCTTGAAGGAAGGAAGGAAGGAAAGAAGGAAGAAAGGAAGAAAGAAAGAAAGAAAGAGAAAAAGCAAGCCCTCTGAGGTTACTGCTTCATACTGAACCCATCAGCTACCCTGAGAGAGAAAGGGTTGGGGATGGCATGGGCTGGGGAAGCCTACCCAGCTGCTTCCGAAGGCTCCTGACTTCTTCCTCCAGCTGCTTGTTGCGTCTGTCTGTCTGTTCCTGTACGGCTCTGCACCGGCGACTCATCTCTGAAGTGGGGACCGTGGAGAAAGGCAAGGAAGTTGTGCAAGGAAAAGAGGCTGCTGGGTCTTGGGGACAGCAGCCTAAGGACTTTCTTGGTTCTTCTTGTGGTTCTGAGATGGTGGTAGACCCTAGAAATCGGGACAAGGGGAAGGACACCAGACGCCCTCCCCATCTCCAGCTTAGGATGGGCCTCCAGCCCATCCCCCCCACTTGTTGTGACCGCATCCCGTGTCCCGCCAAGCAGACAGAACTAGGCATCAGGACCCATGGGAAGTTCCTGCCTGGGGTCCCAGAGGTCTCCTAGGTTCCCTTAGGATCTTTCTGCCTTTGTGCTAGGCAGGGAACGCTGAGGCCAGGCCCAATGGTCAGGAACCTCTTTGCTTTCCTTCCTTACATCCTCTGGCTTTTCTTTGTCCAGGCCCCTGGTTCCTGCCCGCCTGCTCAACAGACCACGCACCTGCATATATGGCCTTCCCCTCACTGCGGGCTTCTTCCAGCTCAGTCTCCAATTCCCGCAACCTCTGCTTCAGCCCATCTTCGGAAGCCTTGGTGCGACGGGTCCCTTCCCTCTGTAGTGCTGCGGATGATCCCGGAGCCCTGCTTAATGCTGCCTTGGGGAGCCCACTGAGGCAGCCCCAGAGGACGTGAGACTTTGTCTCTAGAACCTGGCTGGCTGGCAGAGCACCCAGCCTTCTAAGCTTTTTCCTTCTGGGATTTTCTTTTCTTTTTTTTTTTAAAGCATTTCTTTTTCACTTGGTTGAAAGGCAGAAGTAACAGAGGGAGTGAGCGTGGCATTGTGGTGGTCTCCCAGAGGCCTCCTGCTCCTTACCCACGTGGTCTTGAAGCAGCTCCCTCTCCAGCACCTCCAGCCTGTGTCTGGACTCGGCTTCCACATCTGCTCCGGCAAATGGCAGAGCCTTAGCTTCTTCCCATAACAGCCCTTCCTGCAGACCTGGGTTTCCTCCTGAACCAGATTTGAGGGTCCTTCCTGGAAGGATCCTCAATGGCAGAGCCTATTTAGCTTGCTATGATGTCATCCTGGCCCAGCACGAATATGGTACTCAGAATGTGGGCAATGACTAGGAAGGCACGAAACTAGAAGGATCTCAAAGGACAGTGTGGGAGAGTGGTTCCCCAGATGCTCAGCTCCATGGAAACTGGACTACAGGAGGACAGGGAGAGCTCTTCTGTGTCCTGCCGAGGGCGGAGTCCTCGCAGGACCTCTGCTTGGTCTCTGGGCTAGAACACAGAGAAGCAGGGGTACCTGCCTCCACCCACGGTGCCTCACCAGCTCCTGAGTTCTTTTTCTTCTTCTGCACTCCAGCTTTCCTCCCTCTTCCTTTGGTCTTTGGTGGCATCTTCTTTCAGCCCTGGGCGAAGGAAGCGACCATGAGTTAGGATTTGGATGTGGGAAGCGTTTTCTGGCTCTTACAGGAAACAGGAGTCTTGGGAGGATTGGAGAATTGTAGTCTCCAAGTATCTCTTTTAAGACATAACTCATTTTTTTAAAAGATTTAAAAATTTTTATTGGAAAGTCAGATATACAGAGAGGAGGAGAGAAAGATAGGAAGATCTTCTGTCCGATGATTCACTCCCCAAGTGACCTCAACAGCCAGTGCTGCGCCAATCTGAAGCCAGGAGCCAGGAACTTCTTTCTGGGTCTCCCATGTGGGTACAGGGTCCCAAAGCTTTGGGCCATCCTCAACTGCTTTCCCAGGCCACAAGCAGGGAGCTGGATGGGAAGTAGAGCTGCCGGGATTAGAAACAGTACCTATATGGAATCCCGGCACGTTCAGGGTGAGGACTTTAGTCACTAAGTCACACCATGTTGGGCTCCACAACTTTTTTTTTTAAATAATGATAATAACAATAATAATAAATTAGACTTGAACTAGTACCCATATGGTATTTCAGAAAGTTCATAAAATTGTGGGCCAGGTGTTTGGTCTAGTAGTGAAGAAGTCTATATCCCAAGTTAGAGTACCTAAGTTTGATTCCTGGATCCAGCTCCCAATTCTTGGAGGTTTGTGTTTATGGAGACTCTGAGACAGCAGTGGTTGCTCCACTCGCCATCCATATGGGACAAATGGACGGAGTTCCCAACTTCGCCAGTCTAATCCCAGCCTGGGATCGTCACAGGAGGGAACCAACAGATGGGGACTCTGTCTTTCTGCCCATCTCTCTCTGATTCTCGAAAGAATTACAACTAAGGGAGCAAGAAGGAAAACAAGATCTATAGAAAATGGAGTTAGGGGCTGGCACCTTGGCGTAGTAAGTTAAGCCTCTGTCTGCAATGCTGACACTCCATACAAGTACTAGTTGGAGTCCCAGCTGCTCTGCTTCATCTCCAGCTCCCTATTAACATACCTGGGAAGGCAGAGAAAGATGGCAAAAGTCCTTGGGCCCGTGCAGTCACGAGGCAGACCTGGGAAAAGCTCCTGGCTTCTGGCTTTGGAATGGTCCAGCTCCAGAGGTTGTGACCAACTGGGGAGTGAACCAGTGAATAAAAGAGTGCCGTCTCTCCTTTCTCTGTAACTCTGCCTTCCAGATAAAAATAAATAATAACAAAAAAGGAAGTAAATCATGCATAATTTCTATCATACTACTAATTTTCTAAGATTTTTTGAGTCTCCATCATGGATACTTCAACTTTTTGGCGGGGAGCAGAATCAGCTTATTTTTTAATTACACGTCCCACAAACCTTTACTTTCCAGAAGTTTCCGGGGTTGGTCTTCTTGGAACCTCAGGCAGGGCTGGAGTCACAAAAGGTGGACACTGCTTACAGAAGGTGTTATGCTCAACGCTCTGTGAGACAATACGGTTCCCTCCCTCTTCCTTCGTCCTTACCTTACCTCTTCCTACCTGCCCGACCCTCTGTTGTTGGGTCTCCTTGTAGAATGACCGACGCATGGGGAGGGACGGACAGTAGGCCCAATCAGCCAGGAGCCTGAGGAGGAGTCTGGGCTCTGGGAGCCAATGGGAAGCTGCAACTGTTCCTCAGGGGGCAGGACTGAGCACGGGAAGGCGGGGTTTCTGAAGGTTGCATGTTGCCCAGGCAACTGGGAATCGCGGAGTTCGGAAGAAGGTGGGCTGGGCTGAATCAGCTCAAACAGCTGTCAGCAGCAAGGTCCTGGAGCGGGGGCGAGGGGAGTGCGTGTGCTTTCTTTTTATCGAAAAGTCCACAAGTGTGGCTTGTAAAGAGCAGATCGCCCGTGGCTCTACTTCCGCGCTGGCACCGTGTGTAGGTTGAAGACTTAGAAGCTCCACATTTGCACGTCGAAGACACTGCTGTGACGCGACGCAGAGGCAAGGACAGACGGGAACCATCTTGGGCGAGTCACATCTTGAGATCCCACCTGCCCAGTGTCCCTGTTGTGGTTACAATGGAAGCAACCCCATGGGCCCGGCGCGGTGGCGCAAGTGGTTAAAGGTCCTCGCCTTGCACGCCCGGGATCCCATATGGGCGCCGGTTCTAATCCCGGCAGCCCCGCTTCCCTTCCAGCTCCCTGCTTGTGGCCTGGGAAAGCAGTTGAGGACAGCCCAAAGCTTCGGGAACCTGCACCCGCGTGGGAGACCCGGAAGAGGCTCCTGGCTTCGGATCGGCATAGTATCGACCCGTTGCGCTCACTTGGGGAGTGAATCATCGGATGGAAGATCTTCCTCTCTGTCTCTCCTCTCTGTATATCTGCCTTTCCAATAAAAAATAATAATAATAAAAATAAATCTTTAAAAAAAAAAAAAAAAACAATGGAAGCAACCCTTCTTCAGGCCGGCGTTTGGCAGTGTGTGAGGGACATCAGTGCAGAAGAGGTGCCTGGGAAAGACTTTCCCACTTCGGGAATAGGAAGCGTAGAGAACCGGGTCTGTAGACTCCTAAGCACTGGTCTAGCGGGACGCCCACGTGAGGACAGGCACTGGTTAGAGATAAAACCCGGAGGGAGTTCTAGTCCCCTGTACTGGAGATGTAAGCTCGGGAGATCCACTTAACTCGGTTCAGCCTCAGCTTCTTGGTCTAACACAATTGATTTTGCAAATGCGAAAAACCCTGGGTTTTAACGTGATTGTTTTCATGCACACTGATGGAGTCTATTGCCTGTAGGTGGTTGATTTTCAGAAAGGTGTCCAGAAATTACCTGTATGGTAATTTCCCTGTATGGTACAGTTGGTTGGGGCTCCCTCTAGTGGGTTTGCTTGAATTCTCAAATTTCCTAAACGATTTATTTATTTTTAAAGATTTATTTATTTGAAAGGCAGAATGACACAGACAGGGAGAAAGACATCCTCCATCTGCTGCTTCACTCCCTCAATGCCACAACAGCCAGGTCTGAGCCAGCTGGTAACCGAGAGCCCAGTATTTCATCCAGGTCTTTCTGATAGGTGGTATGGGACCGAGTACTTGGTGAATCTTTTGTCACCTTCCCGGGTGCATTTGCAGGGAGCTAGATTAGAAATGGAATCAGATAAGCACTCTGAAATGAGGTGCTTGCCATGTAGGCAGTGGCATAACCCATTATGATCTGGTAACAGCTCAAGTTTTTAAATTTTAGATTATTCCTGGGTAGTGTAGAAATGAGTTCCTTGTTCAGATATTTCCTAGCCTTTTGCCAGAGTGACAAGCAGCTAGGAAAATGAATCAGAGAAAGAGGTGCTATCAGGCAGTCCCTCCCTCCCTGCAGCCCTGTACTTTCCTGGAGCCAGACCACCTGTCTGCTCCCTGTGTCTCCTGGTACCACAGTGGCTGGGACAGAATCAGCAGAAACCACATGGCCTATCTTAATGTGGCTGAAGGGACCCACAGGTGCTCTCTGGAGGAGCTTCTCTCTGTCTCTGTCCACTTTGGGCATTCTTGATCATTGCCAGCCCGCGTGAGAAGTGGATGCGTAGGAGAAGTCACAAGATCTGAGGATGAGAGATCCTGGCTCTGGGTAGCAGGCTGACCCAGGCGATGGTTGAGTCATGCTTGTTGGACATCTGGTGGCCGCATGGTGCTTCTCTAATCTGTGGACATTTTGTATTTTTTAAAAAAGATTTATTTTATTTTTATTACAAAGTCAGATATACAGAGAGGATGAGAGACAGAGAAGATTTTCATCCGATGATTCACTCCCCAAGTGACCGCAACGGTCAGTGCTGTGCCGATCCAAAGCCAGGAGCCAGGAATCTCTTCCAGGTCTCCCACGTGGGTGCAGGGTCCCAAGGCTTTGAGCTGTCCTCATCTGCTTTCCCAGGCCACAAGCAAGGAGCAAGATGGGAAGTGGAGCTGCTGGGACTAGAACTGGTGCTTATATGGGATGCCGGTGCATTTAAGGTGAGGACCTTAGTCACTAAGCCATGCCACTGGGCCCAACAGCTCTCTTTTTAAAAAAAGGATTAAAATTTTTCTTTGTTTTGAAAGTCAGAGTTACACCGAGAGAGAAGACAGAGATAGAAGAAATAGATCTTTCATCTGCTAGTTCATACCCCAAATGGCCACAATGATAGGAGCTTGGAGCCAGGCGCTTCCTCTGGGTCTCCTTAGTGGATGCAGGGGCCCAAGCATTTAGGCCATCATCTGTTGCTTTCCCAGGTACAGTAGCAGGAAGCTGATCGAAAGTGGTACAGTTGGGTCCCAAATCAATACCTGTATGGGATGCTGGCATCCCAGATGGTGGCTTTACCCACTGTGCCACAATGCTGGTTCCCAATAAATATATCACTAACAACAAAAGGAAAGGAGGGAAGAAAGTGTGATAAAAGAAGAGAGAGAGAGAGACAGACAGTGCTTCCATTTCTTGGTTTACTTCCCTAATGGCTGCAATAGTTAGAACTTGACAAAGTTCTAGTCAGGAGCCTGGAACTCCATTGAGGTCTCCCATGTGGGCATAGGGATTCGAACACTTGGGCTTTCTTCCACTGCCTTCCTAGGTACATTAGCTGAAAGCTGGATTGGTAGCTGAGCAGCTTGGACTCAGTACTCTGATGTGTCATGATGGCAGTTTAGCTTGATGTACCACATGCTGGCCCCTTTTAGTGCTTTCTTATTTATTCTCCATCCAGACCAGCCCTTGCCCTAAAATTCAGGGGGGTTCCAGATCCCCTCCTTCTCCTCATCTAGTAGCTTGAGCGGGGATGACTGCCATGGGATATTGCATGTCTCCTTTGGGCTGGTGCATAAAATGACATGTTGAGGACAGAGATGACGGAACACAAGTAACTATCATGTCACAGTAGCATTTAGTTTACCAGTACATTCAGTCGACCCACTTTCAGGTGCAGAATGAGGATGTGATTTGTGGCTCAGGTGAAGTGGCATAAGAAAAAGTGCCACACATTACATGATGTGATAGCAGAAGAACCAGCTTGAACAAAACCCAGGTTGGGAAAAACATGTGATCAACCATTCAGTCCCATGTGCAGGGCCTTTTTGAAAATAAGCCAAGTAGGGTACTGGTTCATGTCCTGGCTGCTCTGCTTCCCATCCAGCTCCCTGCTTGTGGCCTGGGAAAGCAGTCGAGGATGTCCAAAGCCTGCACCTGCGTGGAGACCCAGAAGAAACTCCTGGCTTCTGGTTTTTGACTGGCTTAGCTCTTGCTGTTGCGGCCACTTGGGAAGTTAGTCAGCAGAGGGAAGATCTTTCTGTATCACTTTCTCTTTGCCTTTCCAATACAAATAAAAATATATCTTAAAAAGAGAAATGAATGGGCATGCAAATTAGAGGAGGGAGTGATTACCTGTAGCTGGAATGTGCAGCATGGAGGACAGTATCGAACCGAGTCTTGGATATCAACAGCACAAGTCAGGCAGAATGCCCCTAGTGGGGTGTGTGTGTGTGTGTGTCTGTGTGTGTGTGAAAAGAGGGACTTTGTGATATATGTAGAAAGCCCAGCATGGGATCTATGTGTTAGGAAATAGTGTAAAATGCAAGGTCTTTTATTCTGTTGTTGGCTCATGACTGGGAATTTTTTTCTAGATGATGGGAACTGTTTGGGGGCAGGAGGGAAGGAAGGAGGGAGAGACAAAGACTTCACATTAGGAAGCTGATGGTGGCAGGACAGCGCCAGGGTAGCTGAGAAATCAGAGGAAACATTTCACCAGGCCAGAAGGAAAAAGGAGAGTCTGTAACCAGGGTGGTGGCACCAGGTGGAGAAAGTTGGGACAGTTTCCTTAGAGCTTTGGCCAGATTTTCCCTCCACGCATTGTTCTCTAAGTAGGAGCCGAGCAAAGGAAATGCTACTGATTGCTTAGGAAATGATCGTGTTGACGCCAAGATCCATCTTAGATAAGGGCGATTGATTTGCAGACCTAGGATGTCCCGCAGACCCGTCCTGGAGTTCAAAGGGATCGCCTTCTGTTGCAGGCGTCCCCGAGCAGCCTAACCCTCCATTAAGCAGCCAAGGACTCGGTGGAGGAGGGGGATCTAGGGCGGAACTGAGCTCCCTGGACAGACCGCGCTGGCAAACTCCCAGAGCGAGCCTCGCAATTAGCAAACTAGGGCAGAGCACTCTATGTTTTAGAAGGGAAGTTCTCATTTTGAAAGTTCTCCCAACGGAACTTTTAGAGAGAAGTGGAAGTGCCCGGACGGCATTTCTATTCCCCCGGCCCCCGCTGCCGGTGCGTGCAGCGGTCGCCGAGGCTCTGGAGGCGGCCGCCTGGGGCAGGCGCGGCTGAGCTGTGCTGCAAAAAGCGCTGAGCAGGAATCTGAAGTGCACCGCCGAGCCCTAGAACAGGAACCAGGCTTTCAGAAGAAAAGGGGGCCGCGGGGGATGGGGTGGAGAACAAAAAGGGAACTGCTTTTGTTTGCAAGAGGTCAGAGGGGCCGAGCGTCGCCAGCCTTTCTGGGGCCTGGGTCCAGGCTCGGACTATCCGCAGTATTGGCTTTCCTGTCCTGTCCTTGGTGGGTCCTCCATGAAGAATGGCCAACACTAGTGGGTGGAGAAACCTTTCCGTTTTCTCCATTTCCCCACCATTCTCAAGTGCCAAACAACCCTAAGCTGAACTTCCTCCTTGTCACGAGTGGGGGGGGGGAAAGGCCTGACGTTAAGAGTTTTTCCATCGCCACCTGTCACGTTACGCATGCCAATGACCCACTCCCGCAGCGCGCACCTCCTCTACCCACCACCGGCACGCAGGGCCCGAGCGCGGCTTAGTGCGCAGACTCCGGGCCGGGCCCGCCCGCCCTCGTTCCTCCGCTTGTCCAGCAGAGGGCGCAGGCGCGGGGGCTCCGCTGGCCCCGCCCCCTCCCCCGCCCGGCCTCCGCGGGCTGCGGAAACTCGGCCCCGGCTTTCGGCGAGGCGAGCGCGGGCCGCGGTGCGGAAAGGGTCGCTGCCCGGTCCCGCCGCGGCCGCCCGCTTCGCCCAGCTGCCTGGTCCGCTCCGGGCGCGCGCCCCCGCGCTCCGCCCGTTCGGGTGCGCGCTCTCGGAAGGGGCGCGCCCCGCGCTCTCCCGACGCCGCCCACTCCCCTCCCCGCGGCCGCTCCTCCCTCCGCCCTGGTAGCCGGCGGCGGCGGCGGCGGCGGCGGCCGGGAGAGGCCCCTCCTTCACGCCCTCCTTCTTTCCCTCGCTCGCAGCCGAGCGAAGCCGGCAGAGCCGGCTGGGGCCCCCGGACCGTGCTCGAGCCATGGCTGGCAACGTGAAGAAGAGCTCTGGGGCCGGGGGCGGCGGCGGCTCTGGGGGTTCGGGCTCGGGCGGCCTGATTGGGCTCATGAAGGACGCCTTCCAGCCGCATCACCACCACCACCACCTCAGCCCCCACCCGCCGGGCACCGTGGACAAGAAGATGGTGGAGAAGTGCTGGAAGCTCATGGACAAGGTGAAGGCCTGCGTGCCGCGCGGACTCGGCGCAGGGTGGGCGTGGGCGGCGGAGCGGGGGAGGGGCCGCCGGGCGAGGCCGCGGGGCCGGGGCACCGGGTGGAGGGCCGCGGGTCGCGGCTGGGGGCGGGAGGCTGGGCGGGAGCGGGGGCCGGGGGAAGGTGAGGCGGCGGAAGGCCCGGGAGGGCTGCGGGGTCCGGACCCGGAGCGGGGTGGCGGGGATCTGGGTCGCGGAATGGGCCCCGGGAACCAGGAAGGGAGGGCGGGGTGAGGAAGTGTTGGACTTGCGGAGGGAGGGATCGCCCGAGGAGATGCGGTTATGGCCCGGCGAGCTGCGGGCTGTGGTGTTTTCTCATTCAGCCCTGACCACCGAGCTTCCAGAGATAGGGATGTTTGGAAATGGGGGGCCGGGAGGGAAGTTTTCCTGCACCAGCCGGGGCCGATCCGCGGCCAGTTCCGCGATAGGCACTGATTAAACCACAAGTGTTGGCGAGGAGTGCTATCTGCCCCAGAGGTGGACTGCCCGAGTCCGGCCGGGTGGCCACTTCCTCCCGCCCGCCGCTGCCCGCTGCTGTGGGTAACGGGCCACTTACAGCACCACCTGCTCTACCAGCCTGTCGGACCAGCCTCTTTGGCAATTTTTTGTTTGTTTGTTTTTTCCCCTAGAAAAATAGCTCCTTCATAGGTCGCCCCCCCGAAGTTTGTTGTGAGACGGTTGCTTCCTCACAGATCGTTTCCGTGATGAAATGTGCGAGTTGAGCTCCTAGTGCTGAGGCGCGGCAGCGGTCTCACGCTCTGTTAGCGAGTGTGCGCCTGTGATACTGCTCGTATGCGTTAATAACTTTGGCAGAATTCGGAGGGCCGAGGGAAAGTGTTTAGAAGGATCTGGCATGCTGCTAGTTCCTCCAGGGAACGGTTGGTTTTCTTTAGTTCCTCTCTGGGCCTAGGTTCCTCTTCTGTAAAGTTCTTCATGGGTTATTTTGGACTGGAAACAGCTAATAAAAAGATTATGAAGCACTTGGCAGATGTAAATGTTTTATATAAATGCCTCATAAGTCCTGTGTGTGAATTAACAGTCCTGCCGTGCGCCTCAGTGGCTTCTGAGTGACTTTCTCAGGGCCGGTTTTGCTCAGGCCATGGCTAAATGATCAGCCTTGCACTTGGTGTAACAAGTGTCTCTGCTGGCCAGTGAGGAGGGGCGGTAGTAACTTTATGAATAGGGCTTGTCATCAAACCATAGCAGAAAGGTACGTCTGTCAAGGATACTTTCATTGTGCTGACGTGTTTCAAAAGTATAATGAATATATTCAACACCTGAAGTTTGCAGGTTTTCATTTTTTAGATTTATTATTCAGGACTCAATAGACTCCTCTACTATGAAAAATATGAACATTTTAAAGTAGTTTATCATGGAAAATTGGGCACAGTGGACCCAAGCTGCCGAAACAGCTGGAGATGCGCCGATGTGAAGCCAGGAACCAGAAATCTCACCCTGGTCTCCTGCATGGGCTCAGGATTCCAAGGCCTTGGGCCGTCCTCAACTGCTTTCCCAGGCCACAGGCGGGGAGCTGGATGAGAAGCGGGGCGCCGGGATTAGAACTGGCGCCCATATGGGATACTGGCATGTGCAAGGTGAGGACTTTAGCCGCTAGGCTATCCCGCCAGGCCCCAAAAATAGATCTTAAAAAAATTACAAATAGGGCCCGGCGCGGTGGCGCAAGTGGTTAAAGGTCCTCGCCTTGCACGCCCGGGATCCCATATGGGCGCCGGTTCTAATCCCGGCAGCCCCGCTTCCCTTCCAGCTCCCTGCCTGTGGCCCCGGGAAAGCAGCAGAGGACGGCCCAAAGCTTTGGGACCCTGCACCCGCGTGGGAGACCCAGAAGAGGCTCCTGGCTTCGGATTGGCATAGCATCTGTTGCGGCTCACTTGGGGAGTGAATCATCGGACGGAAGATCTTCCTCTCTGTCTCTCCTCTCTGTATATCCGCCTTTCCAATGAAAAAAATAATAAAAATAAATCTTTAAAAAAAATTACAAATAAGGTAGTCCAAATGAAATTATCTGTTAAGTTACTCTTTCATCTCTCTGAAGATATAAATATTAAATTTTGATTTTCTGCAGCCTAGTTATTTGGAAAGGATAAAGACTCAGTTTTGAGGCGAGATGCTGTCTCAATTTTGGTAGCTTTAAGAAAAGGGATTTTTACTTTTCCATTTTTGAATTTTTTTTAAAATATAAAATAATAAGTTTATTTGGAAGGCAGAATCACAGAGCAGAGGGAGCAAAAGACAGCCTGCGCCTGCTGGTTTACTCCCTAAATGGCTGCCTCAGCTGCAGTGGGCGTGTGCCAGGCTGAAGCTAGGAGTCTGCAACTCAGTGGGGATCTCCCATGTGGGTGGTAGAGGCCCGTAGGCTTCCCTCTGTAAGCTGATGGCAAGAGGAACCCCTAAGGACGCCCACATTGTACTGTTCCTTTTACTCTTCTTGTTTTGAGCGCAGAATGTCTCAAATGTGTCCTAACACCTTACTTCGTGGTATAAGAAGGTTCCTTGCTTTCATTGAATATATTCAGCTATTGTTTTACACCTATTTTAGCCTTGTCATTGTAAGAGGGATGAATGATAGTCTGGTCACTTTGAATCTGTATATTGAATTGGCCCTGGGAACTGTTAGTCACACCTCGCTCCAACCATATTGGAGATATGCGGTTGGAGAAGTTGGTTTAAGTCAGGGTTTGTAGTCAGCATAAGGCCCATGTATTAATTAACTGATTCATTATGGAACTGAAACTTGTTGGGAAAAATCTTGTTAGAATGCTTGTCATTAAACAAAAGTTACATAGAATCAGCCTCTAGTTTTTTTTTCTAATATTTATTTATTTTCACTGGAAAGGCAGAGTTAGAGGTGGGAGGGGGGAAGGGAAAAAATATGAATCTATCTGCTGGTTCATTCCTCAAATAGCTACAATGACTGGGTCTTGGGCTCAGGGACTTGCATCGTCTTTCGCTGCTTTGCAGGCCACAAGCAGGGAGCTGGTTGGGAGCGGAGCAGCCAGGACACGAACTGGCGCCTATATGGGATGCCGGTGCTACAAGCAGAAGCTGAGGTGTAGGCTACCGTGCTGGACCCAAGTTTTTCTTTTTTGTATTTTTTTACTCCAGGATATTGTAATCACATGTGTAAATAAATCCATGTGAAGAAAGTGACTCCTGGTAGCAACAAGACACCAGAAAAGAGAGTAGAAACAAAAGTTATGGAAATGACTCTGGATTAAAAATGACTTTTAAATTATTGAGCTACTTAGAGACTTAAAGTTCATTTTGAAGTAGAGCAAGGCTTCATAAATGTTTTCTGTAAAGGAAGAATAGGAAATACTTAAAGTTTGTTGGCCATGTGTGTAATCCTGTTTTGTTGCTGACATTTGTTACAACTCCTTTTTTTTTTTCCTTAAGATTTATTTTTATTTGAAAGGCAAATTTATAGAGAGCGGAGAGATAGAGAAGGTCTGCTATCTGCTAGTTCACTCCCCAAGTGGCCACAACATCCGGAGCTAAGCCAACCCGAAGGCAGAAGATAAGAGCTTCTTTCAGGTCAGCCACGAGGATACAGGGTCCCCAGACTCAAGCCGTTTTCTGCTGCTTTCTCAGCTGTAAGTTGGATTGGAACTGGAACGCTGGGATATGAATCGGTATCCATAGTGGATGTTGGCACCACAGAGTGGAGGATTAGCTTGCTGCACCACTGTACTGGTCCCTGTTACAACTCTTATCTGCAATGTCAGCATCCTGTATGGGCACTAACTTGAGTTCTGGCTGCTCCACTTCTCATCCAGCTCCCTGCTTGTAGCCTAGGAGGGCAGCCCAGGAGTTCTGGGGTTCCTGTGTGCATGAAGGAGATGAAAGAAACTCCAGGCTCCTTGTTCAGACCTACCCAGCCCCGGCTATTGCAGCCATCTGGGGAGTGGAGTTACAGATGAAGGATCTCCTTTGTCTCTCTCTTTGTAATTCTTTCACATAAAAATAAATAAATCTTTTTAAAAAGTAAAAGCTATTCTTAGCTTCCTGATGTAAGAAAATTTGCCTACTTCTTTGGGTTTGTACTGTTTTTATTTTTACATACTTCTTTGAAGGTGGAGGAGTTGAGAGAGAGACTATGGGCTCCCAGCGCCCAATTCACTCTCAGACATCTACAGTGGTTGCTAAGGTCAGGGTCAGGCCAGAACCATAGTGAGCAGCAGGAAAGTCAGTCTAGGTCTCCTATGTGACTGGCTGGAACCCAGTCATTTGAACCTTGATGCTAAGACAGGCATTAACAGGATGCTAGAGTTAGGAGCTGAGTGTTGACCTCAGGTATTCCACTCGATAGGGTATGTAGACATTCTCTATTTTTAGATTTACTTATTTTATTTTATTTTATTTTTTGTTGGGAAGGCAGATTCACAGAGAGAAGGAGAGACAAAGAGAAAGATCTTCCATTTGCTGGTGTACTCCCCAAGTGGCTGCAGTGGCCAGAGCTGAGTTGATCTGAAGCCAGAAGCCAGGAGCTTCTCCTGGGTCTCTCATGCAGGTGCAGGGTCCTGAGACTTTGGGTCATCCTCCTCAGCTTCCTGTGTCATAAGCAGGGAGCTGGGTGGGAAGGGGAGCAGCTGGAACGTGTACCCATATGGGGTACCAGATCTTGCAGGTGGGTGATTAGCCTGTTCAACCACCATGCTGGCCCAGGAGTTTGACATCTTAAACCTTAGACCAAATTATCCTAGTCTGTTTGTTTATTTGTAAAGAGAGGCCAACTCAGATTATCATCCAGGGCATCTGAAGATTTGTTCATTTAGTTGAAAGGCAGAATCACAGGGGAGATACCTTCTAAACCTTGGTTCACTTTCCAGATGGCGTGAAAGCCAGAACTGGGCCAGGCTGAAGCCACGAGCCAGGAACTTCTTCTGGGTTTCCCGTGTGGGTACAAGGGCACAAGCACTGGGTCATTCTCTGCTGCTTTCCTAGGC